GAATTACAAATTGAATTTCCAACCTTATGCAAGTGGTATGTGTTTACTGCCACTCACTAAAACACTGGACTGTGAATTGATAATTTCTAATTATATTACTGAAAAATTTAATGAGGTTAAACTTATATAATAAAAAAGACTAATATTCGATAAATTGCATACATTGGGAGTTTGTTCCTTTCATTTTACCTTTGACAAAAATATACTTCATGAAGCACATCTAAAACAACAATGATCTGTTGAAAGAAGTTGGTTTATAGCCGTCACTGTTTATTCTGTAATAAATATAAATATTTTTTTAGTCGTGGAAATAATTGTATGGAACACTCAGTATGCATAATTGGAAGAAATGTACAAAATTAATCTCACCATGAAAAGCAAAATATGTGATGAAAATATAATTGAAAGAATCCTTGCTGCTATGAAACTATTATATAGTTTAATCATTCAATAATATATAAATATTATTAGAATCTATCCAATTTCAATTCACATTTTTTTTTCAATGTTAGATAATTACATCATATGAACTAGAAAGAAAAAAATTTCAGAGAATGAATTTAAAGAACAAAAAAATGCGTTTCAAACTTTAATAAATACAATAGTATTGTAATTTACAATTATGGTGTATATTACCTAACATAATAGTATGTTTACAACCACTATACTATATATTTGAATTATAACATTATATTTATTTTTATATATCATTATAATATATTATTGTATTATTATTTTCTGTAATATCCTAATACAATTTGATTTATACATTAGAAATTATATTCATTTTTACTCTTTTCAATATGAAATAGTATGCAGTCACTTAACAAAATAGTTATTGAAGCAGGATGGTTATGCAATTCCAATTAGCATGATGTTTTTGATAATCAAGAGAATTAAATAGCAATGTTGAAATTATATGGATCAAAAATATAAATACTGCATTATTCTCTCTTCTGCTGGTTAACCATATTTAATAAAAGTATTACAACTTCTACAGCCATCATGTCCCAATTCTATCCCAAAATTGTCCAAAAATATAATATGAACAAACTTATTTCATTTCTACAAGAGTGGTATATAAGAAAAACCTGGAACTCAGTCATAACACCATACACAAACTTTGCAAACAAAAAGTGAACGGAAGTGATTTTCTTGAAATGAGCAGGAAGGACTTCATGGTATATGGAATCCTTGGTGAACCTGTGCAAAGGCTCTCTAATTTCATTAAAAAGATCAACCAGTATTTTGATTACTTATGGGTTTTACTTAATACCATCTACTACACTATTTACTGCACCACCATTTTATTCTGATAATTCTGTAAAAATTTGTCCTATATCAAATTGGATCTTACACTTCCAATCACATTTTAGGTTAAAACAAATGCATATACCTGTATAACAAAATAGGATAAAAAACCTGAAGTATAATATTAATTGTTATTGTAAAAAAAATTAATATAAAAGGGATAGCCACTTTAAATGCTTATGAAAATGTTGGTAGCACATAAACTAAGCAATAAAATTTCTAGTTAATTGAAAAAATAATATACTAAATGTAGCAGCCTTTAGATTTCGAAGCCAAAGACTTTTAATTGTCAAGGGTTTAGTATGACTGGCAACAATAGAATCGTCAGTTTTATGAGAAAATCAAATTCATGGTTAACTTTATACATGAGGGATTTAATTTAGGATAGTGAGTGGAATGCAATAATTAAAAATTTATTTACTGAAAAAAAAAGCTAGTAAACAAAACCAAAACCTTGGGATCCAATAACATTACTCAAGAAATTAAGCAAAATTATGATGAAATTATAATGAATCATTATCAAAAATGATTACCATAACAATCACAAATCTTTTTGGACCCTAAGTAAAATTTATTTATTTATAAAATTTGGAATTTATTAATTTATACTTTGTGATAAATCTTTAGGATTAATTGACTTTGAAACAATATATATATACTGAATAGTTTACACATTTAAAGAAGCTAACTGAATGGTGATACATGTGAAGGATTGTATATCAATTATATCAATTTATATAGTAGGTTCTCCTAATTAGCATAGTTGCATCTACCATAATTGTGATATATTGTGGGAGATGATTTAGGCAGTACATGTATGAATTTTATTATAATATTACAAATAAAAAAAAAGATTGTGTATTAATATATGTGATTAATCTATATAAAAGATAATGGAAAAGAAATGTTATATACAGATGAAATAGATGTTAATGAGAAACATATTCAACAAGAGTTAAATATTTCAAAGACTTTTTATAAAAGTTGGTGGAGTTTTATTTGAAAATTTTACAGAAGTAGGAAAAGAGCTCAAATGGAAAATAGATAGTTTTGAAAGGAGACACAAGTTGAAGCTCATGTAAAGTTGAGGTATTGGCCTCTCAAATGTGACCAATGAATGAGCAGGACATAGGCAACATTGATTCTGGTAAGAGATCCGCCATCTATTTAAAAGAAAACTGGGAATTATAGGATTGGGATAGGCTGGTAAATTATTGGGAAATTGTTATAAATCTTTCCTATAAATAATTAATAATCTTGTAATCTAATCAGGGTTTTTCTCATTTTGTTATTTTTCATCTTTTTGTCTAACAAAATGGTTTACAAGAAATATAATAGTCAAAAAGCTACGCCAAAAGAACGTATTAGGCTAGCTTGTAATAATCTAGTTTGTAAGAAAATTAAAAGTAACTTGAAAAATGCTATGATAGGCAATTTTTTATCTGTAAAACAATAAAAGAAAAAAAGGATGGAAAGGAGCTCAAAAACTTTCACAAAGGGTGGCTAGAGTGGCGTACAAATTGTTCCTTTAAAACAAAGAGCTTCACCAAGAAGTAGGGATACTGAAGTAAGAATGGAACAGTTAATAAAGAAGAAATATTTTAAATATTTCATAATAGAATATTAACAGGTGTTGCATCTGATAATTCAGAAAAATTCTAATGTCAAGAATAGCTCACACTAACCTTGAAACAAAGCTAATATTAACTTTAACTTTCACTTTCTTATGATGATGCATAAGATTTAGCTTTATAAATTCGAGATGCTTTATGTGAAATGAAAACAACTTTTGCTAAATGGGATTAAAGTTCATGGATTTAAAGGAAAAGGAAAAAAATCAAAAATCATTCATCCCCCTCTTCCTTCTATTAATAACAATAAGGTTGTCACTACTGTTTTAACTAATAGAAGTTAGATCACTTTAAGTTTAAATACAGGAGAATATATGAACAATAATTTTCATCATTTGAATTATAACATTTTTCAGAAAACATGTACTTCCAATTTCAAGTAAAAATTAACATGGCTCTTCCTTATATATGATAGGCCATTTAAGTATAAAGGTTTATTGAATATATAAATAGGTAATAACATCGCACAAGCCTTTGGTGTACTCTCAAATGCTTTTCAAACAATTTTACAAGTATCCTTATTGCTTAATTTACCAAACTTTAATGCAAACCTTGGGCAACAATTAGCACCACAATTAGCTAAATAAAGAGATCAAAACCACTGGATTATTAAGTGAAAAAGACTTTTTGGAAAGCCCGACAAAAAATTAAAAATGAATGTTCAAGACTGACCTGAGCTTGCTTATTGAGAATCTTCAATTCCAACTTTGGAGAATACTCTGAAAGAAATATACACATCATCATCAAATAATGGAAGTAACAAAAAGCTTCTACAATCTGAATAACCACCATCCAATGTCATTGGAAGGTGCAGGATAAGTTTAAAAAATCTGAAAAGCAACAAATGCTGAACATAATGAGTCTAATTTTAGATTTATTCATAGTAAATTTTGTATATTTTGAAAATATTAAGAAGATAATTGGTTTCAATTGAAGAGGAATAAAATTTATCTAACTTTTAATACTAATATAGATTCATATCTATAAAAGATAGTTCATGTCCAAGCAACCAAATCAAACAACTTTTCAATTATTTTGATGGTATTTAAACTATGACTAGTTATACAATAGCCTGATTTGAATCCAATTGAAAACTTATGGTCAATCATAAAAAATAAGGTGGAGAAACAGATGCCAAAATAATCTTGATGATCTGGAAAATTTTATGGTGGAACCGTGGAAGAATGGCAAAATATTCCAGAAACTGTTCTAATTAATTTTTTAAATTCAGTGAGATGACGTTGTGAAATAATTATTGAAAATAATGGTGAACGTATACCATATTAAATTTTTTTAATAAATTGTCAAGGTTTTTTGGCTTTAAAATAAAAAAAATTTCATGTGATTTATTACAATAATTGAACATTGTCGATCAATTTTTTAATTCTCATTTTTTTTGTCCTCACTGTATATGAAAGAATAATTAGGTAAAAATAAAAAAAATGTTATAGAAAGAATTTTTTTATTTAACAGTTTAGATTTTATTATTATAATTAAGGAGTATTTTATCGTAATTATATATTACAGTACAGGAATAGAGGAGTTAATTGAATGCCTACAAAGTTCATATTTCTAAAACAAAAATAAAAACCATAATCATAACTCTTATTGCCAATAAATTTGTAGTGTTAAAATGTTATTATATAATATATGAGAAGGATATAAAATAGCAGATTGTACAACAATGTTAGGAAATACTAAATTTTTGCTCTCTATGCTTCACTCTCTATAACAAATCATCTTTTATTAGGCCTTGCAGAAACCAGATCAACTATAAAGCAGATTGTTATTTTTTGAATTTTGCTTGATAAAGAATTGTTTGTGGTTCAGACTAAATAGAATAAATTATGAACTTTTTACAAAAAATTATTAGTCTAACTATTTCATAATTCCAGGTCATGGCATATAAATTGGAAATTTTAGTTATAAATAATTTATATTAATAATTTATTAAAAATGAATAATTATGTATTATACAATTATACAATATATTAGATATTTAAAATTCAACATAAAAAAATTTGAATTTGATAATAAAATACTAATACTATTCAATATTTAAAATTTAAATTCATTATAAACATTAATGAAACAAAAATCTTTATACTTTTTAATAACTCCTATATGTTTATAATATTCAATCATTTCATTAAAATCATTATTCATTTTATCATAATCATAAATATTAATTGAAGATAACCACATAGATTTTCGACCCACCCAATTCTCAAAAAAATTTCTTAAAGAATGAATCTTATAAATATTATAACTACCAATATCAATTTTAAATAAACTAAGTGGAGAAGAATTTATTAAAATTTTTAATAAATTATCACCAATTTCAGGTAAATAATTTCCATCTCTATAATGATAAATAAATATACCTTCTAATGATTGACAATTTAATAAAACTTGTTCAAAATTATGAAGGTACATATCATCTAAATCAATTCTAAGATATTTTAAATTTGAACAATGTTGAGATATTCTACAAAGAAGTTGATCAGTAAAAAGATTGGCATTAAAATCCATAGAAATTATTTGAAGATCATTTTCAGATTCTTGAATAATTCTATTAACAGCATAAAAAGTAGCAGAATATAATAAATTAATTTGAAGAACTTGTAATTTAGGATAATTATAAAAATTCTTATATAATTCAATATCAAAAATATCAAAAATTTGATTATATAATTTAAATTTTTTTAAATTAATAAATTTTGGAAAAAAGAAATTATAAAAAGGTGAAAAATTTTCTATAGGTAAACTCAAATAAATAATATTATGAGAATGCTTTAATACTGCAGAACCAATATCTCCATAATTTCCACGTATAAATTGATGACTTATTTTATTTCTTATAGTTAAATATTTCACTTTTTGTTGCGTTTCAATTAATTTAGCAAGTCCAGAATTTGAAGTTGTAAGATAAATATAAAACCTTTCAATAAATCTGCAAATTTTAGCCAATCCATAAAAAAGTGAAGAATCATCCTTACTACTACAATATAATTCATAAAGTTTCGCAAAGCAAATTTCTGCTCCAGGAAATTTATATAATGGATATTTAACCCCCATCGTATCTAAACATTTAATATTATAACATTTGTTAATAAGAAGTTTATATATTTCTTGTTCCAATAATTTAATATATCGATTATCATAATGACGAAAAACCTTTTCATAAAAATTTTGACCAAATAGTTGATATTTAATATATTTACAAAAACTAATATAATTAAATAAAGGTTTTTGCTGAGGTTTTTTAAGTATATCAATTTTTTGATTCTTAATAAATACGTAATTAAATATATAATTTAATAAAGGATTTCTTCGTTTCGTCTTATCAGTATCCTGACTTTTTAATAACAATCTTGATTCTTCCGGTAAATGTAAGAGGACAATATTAAAAAATATTCTCGCTTTTTTAATTTTTTCCAAATTTCCGTAAGGTTTTGTTATAACTTCCCATGGATTTCTCCATAAAATTGGTACTGCAATTTTACACCAGAGCCTATTTACCAATAAACAAGGGTATAAAGAATTTTTATCATTATATATTACTTCAAATACTAATGTGAGACAATCATGATTAAGTTTATTCATTTCTTATTGAAAAATAAAAATAATGGACAAGTATCAACGGTTTTTTTTTTAATAAGAAAAAAATTAAAAGTTTATTATGTGATTTACCGTGCTTCTTTATTTTATCAATAAACTCGGGAGTTTCTGAAATTGATTAGTAAAAGGATTGTCCTTTTTATTACTTAAATAATCAATACGATAAATATTTAGTAAATATTTATGTACTTGGAAAGCCTTCTTGCAGATCATAATGATTTCAAAAATGACACGCCTCTTTATTAATCCAATAATAAATTAGCAAGACGCTGAATCACGTGATCAAGCTAAATATATCAAGTTAGAAGTTTTTTAGTTTGTCTTAAAATATTTACATAATATTCAAAGAATTCTATAAGTACCATAAACAAAGAATCCGAGCATTTTTTTTTGACCAATGACGATATTAATTACGTACCTTTCTTGATTTCTTTTAACATGAGAATTTCGATTTAACTAGCATTTTATATCCTGAAGGTTAGGTGATAAAGAACGAAAAGTTCATGATAGATTTAATCGACCTGAATCTTTTAGTTCTAAATCCAATATATGAATAAATCAAACAATATATGATAAATAAATATGAAAAAATCGTGCTTCCAATAAACTGTACACATTTCAAACATTATCTATTTTTAGAGAAGTGTTATTTTTAATATATATTTAACAAATAGTAATAGCCAATAGCGGTACTCCCTATAACGCATAGTATTTGATATTTTAATTATGTAATAAAAAATGTAGTTCAATAGACCTTATACGTGTGTTAAGGAACAATATAAAAGAAAATAATTGTTTCAGGGGAACTTAAAGTTGATCAAATGTGGGGTGAACATAATATGAATTCTATTTAGTCAAATGATCTGAAATTGGTATTACAATATTACATAGATGACGAAATATGCGCGATGTGCATGTCGGATTTCTTAAATAGGGAGTTACTATAGGGGAAAATTCTTATTAGTTCACATAAATTTGGGAATTTAATGCACCAATGTATTAAATTCTGAATAGAATGTTCAACCTGTCCGCTTACATTCTTGTCATCATGAAAAAAAAAAAAAAAATATTAATAATAATTTTAACACTTTATAATGTTTTATCAATAAAGCGTTGGTATAGTAATTAAAATGGCATGATAATATGAAAATTTTAAAATAAATACAAATGTTGAATTTTATATGATATGAAAAAATATTAATTGATAATTATTTTTTGTCTACTTTTTATTAATTAATTTATTTATTTATTTATTTTATGGCTAGTCAGGAGGACTACATTGAAGATCAAAAATTACAAGTATACTATGAAAAATATGAGATACAATATAGAACTTCACCTCGGAGTAACGCTTTTTATTAATTAATTATTCTATAATCACAAGAATTTGATAATTGATATTCGTCACGTGTACATTTTTTAAAAAAAAATTGATATTCCATTACATGCCAACAGGAGCTAAGAATCGGCTATCGGGTTTCAATGTAAGTGTGTTTTACGGATGAATAATTGTGAATTCTGTTATTAATTGTGATAATTTGATAAGAAATAAAAAATATAATATATAGTCCATATGGTCTAATTCGCCTAAATTATTATAAAAGTAGTACTCGACGGTCGTTCTGCTGTAAATACTTAATAAAATAAACTTATATACAATATATTTAATTCAACTACGTTAACGATGATTCATCCTACTATGCAAAGAATAAAAAAATAAATAGATGCAAATTCTTTCATTATACTCGTGATAATTTTTTTCATGTAACTTGCCTTATTTTACATAATTCTGTCTCCCTGAATGTATGGAAATCCATCCTTGACAAAAGTTGGTGTCCGGGCATAATGATGTACTGTATGATGCTTGAATATCATGCTGGTTGATGTCTGGACATTATGTCAAATATATGAAAGTTGATATTCAGACATGATGTCTAGATATCATGAATAATGGTGTAAAGAAATTATGAATAATGATGTACAGACATCATGATGTTGGATAACCCAAGTCATCATGTTGGGTATGTAGGACGATGTTTTGCACATCATTCAACATTGATGTCGAAGACATTATCTGGAGACATTATGTTGATCACGGCTACCAAATATGGTAAATTTTTATTTATGGTAAATTTACCGATTTTTTAAATTTTTATATCCATTTTAATTACAAATATCATGTGATTATTAAAAGTATTAAATTAATCCAGAAAATCAATAAATTTACCATAAATAAAAACTTTCAGGAAATGATACAAAAACTCTTTCCGCTTTCCAACATTTTTATTAAAATTCCGCAGCAACTTACTATCAAATAAAAAATATTTTCGAGGAGAGAGGACCACGGGGTGGCCTCTGTTGGTAAGTACACCTCTAACTTAACCTCGACCTTCAGGAAAGATGGATATAATAAGTCCAGACCCTGACGTTCTCGCCAGGGATAAAAGCCTGGCTGCTGGCCACGGCCTTATTTCTGCTCTAGGTTGTCGCCTCTGGGTTCCAGAAGAGGAACGTGAAAACCATGACCGGCTCGTCATAATACACCGCGAACAATTTTACTACTTAAACCCTGATGGGTTCCCTAAAAAGGGCTCTATATTCAAACTTGAACCGCACAAAATCGACTTGTGGATTTTACAAACTTTCACCCATACCTTCGACCTGGCCTCTCTCGAATCTTTAGGATCGGCTTGGTCCCATGCACAACAAGACAACTTACCCCTTATGGAAATATACCACGAATATTTTGATGCACCATGGCTCGAAATCGAACCAATATATTTACACGCTAACATCACCGAAATTTCCCATTTAGGAAAATTTTTATACAAAGAACATAATGTTCCAGAACCTTTCTGCAGACACTCACGTGACAAAAAATCATTCACTGACGATCTCGATTCCGTACGACACTGGCTTCGACAACTGATTATGAGACAATCCAACTTGGACGATAACCACACAACCATCACAGAGTCACTCATCAGACATCGGTGGCTCCTAAAATACCAAATTTCCTCTTCCCGGCTTTCCTATTCTTCCACGTGATGGGGTCCACCAGGCTTTTTGAAGCCTTTTATATTATACTAAGCATAGATGATAGTTTTTTTTTCTGCGTCTGGGTTTTATATGTAGAGGTTATATTACTATACTTTTGTTCCTTTTATTTTTTTATTCCCTAAGTCCAATTTCTCTAGTGTAAGGCGGTAGGAAAAGCTTCGGTTGGACCTCCACGGTTCTTTTTATATATACACACCAGGGTGGCACTGTCTTCGGGCGGTTTGATTATAGCATAGTTTTAGGATAGCGTTTGGCTTTTTTTTTAATTAGTTCTTGTCTATCTTTCTGTAATCTTGTTCACATGGAATTTAAAAATAAAAATTAAAAATAAAAATAAAATTTACCATAAATAAAAATTCAGGTAATTATGATTTGCATGATGTCTCGGTTGATGTCTTTGACATAATGTTAAATAATGAATATGATGTCCAAACATCATACATTATGATGTCCGGACATCAACTTTTTGTCAACGTTAGCTTGCGATATGGATGTCCATATTTATGTTCACGGATTTTTTTACAATGGTCCTACAGCAAATTACTATATCACATGCAAAACATTTCATATTCTTTGATCGCAAATATTTTAAACAAAAATTATACAGAATAGATATTGACATAAATAATTTAGAACGAAAAGAGTCATCAAAAATTGGACTCAGAACAAGACTTGAAACAAATTCTTGCTTTCCACCCTGAAAATAACCATATTCTTAATAGAGAAATACTGTAAGAATGAATCCTGATCAAAACTTAAATTCTTCTTACGGACGTAATAAACAAACAATTTCAATAATTGATAGTCATCAACCTAATTTTGATAATAATTTTACTCAACAAACTAGAGTTGGATATTATATAATGTCACTAATTCACGACAACGAGTACCACAACTCATTCCCAAAGGATTAGTTGTAATGGAATTTCATTTTATGGATAATGTACAAGTGGGTTTCAATTACCGATCCTTTTCAACATCTGCAGCACCACAAAATAGTGCTTATCATATCACTATAATATTTCCACAACAAATTATTTTTATAGAAATATAAATTTATTTCATGGAAATCGCAAATAATACGCTCGTCTGTTTTGACTAGGGATGGCAACGGTCGGTCANCTAAAAAAAAAAAAAGAATAATATTAATAATGTACTTACTAATAGAAAAATATATAAAATTAAATGAAAAAATTATATAAAAAAAATAGTATAGATCTTATAAAGGAAAAAAAATTAAAAAAATTTGGTTTAAATATAGAAAAGAAAATTAAAAGAAAAATTTTCAGATATAGAAAAATCAAACTGAAACTCTATAAAAAATTTTATCCTTTCCCGGATCCATTCAACGGAAAATGTAAATAATTCGATAAATTCCGTGATATAAGGTTATTAATTCCGGAAATATGAGTTGTTTACGGAAAAAAGACGGAATATAAAAAAACGGATCGACTTTTTTTACAGGGAAAAAGAAATAAAAAAAATCAGTTTAAAAAAAAAACCAAAATAAAAATTGAAAAAAAAAATTCAGTCTAAAAATAAACCAAAAAAATAAAAGAATAAAAGAACTATTTTGCAGGAACCCATGAATTAGTTACTATGCAGTTAATATCCAACACGTGACGACATGTATCAAGAGCATTGTACTCCGAACAATCTAAAGAACGTGGATTTGGATTTATTAAAAACATTACATCACCTTATTTGCGGTACGGCTATTAGATGGTGGAAAGATTTGAGGCTATATATACCAAACAGTGGATTTATGAACCTACCTCGATATGCCGATATTCGATATACCGATATATTAAAAAATTCGATATAACGATAAAATTTTACTTCAATTTTATGATATTTTTCAAAGATTTTCATATAGGTCGCAGGTCTAAAAGGTATTATTTGTGCAACAGTTTGGCAAAGACTAACTGTAGCTAGTAAAATCATAGCACCTTGCGCAGCTTTAAACATGCTTTCGGCAAGCTACTCTGCCACGGTTAATATTTGAATAAAGTAATAAAGTTATTAAGTATAAGTTTCCAAAAAAATTTGCTTATATAAAAAGAATGTAATATGAAAGTTTCCAATAATGTTTGTTTAAAAACAAGATGGAAATTTCTGATGGTAAGTTCTTAATTAATTAGTTTGCTTTAACAAAAAAATCTTATTTATTTTACCAATTTGTTTTTAGATGGATCATTTAACAACGTTTTTTTTATATTTTTAAAAATTATTATCATTTATTTATTTATTTATTATTTTATCTTGGATTACATAAACACTAAGACTAGATAAAGTAGTAAGTGTTTTACAAAATTCTAGCATTAATAAAAAAATAGATCATTGTAAAACAATTTTTATTGTAAAATCCGTTTTCTATATTAAACATATAATTTCATAATATTACTATATTTAATGCTTATATAATTAAAATACTTATGTATATTCCATAGCATAAATGAAGACAAATAAAAACTTACACATAAAATGAATAAAATATATAAATTAATTAAAATGAATATTGAGCTTTTCCTTGAAGAAAGTCCAATGATTTAGGTCTTCTCTATTAGAGAATTTTGTCATCTCACCTTATTTATGAGTGGTAAAAACGATTCAAACAATAAATAAAAAAATTAACATTTTATTATATTCTTAATAAATTCTATTACAATAAATAATTCACTAATAATTGTAACTGTGTTATTTCACAATAAAAACTATTAAATATTAATACTCTTTTAGTCATCCCTCTTCTTAATTGCAACAGTCTCTATTTAATTAGATATAATTAAATTTACATTTATTTTTTATTTATTGTTCAGGGTAGTGTTCTGAAAGGGTCGAGTCGGGTCAGGTTTGAGGATGTATTTGAACTCGACCCGTGTATAAAAACCAATCTGTACAAATACCCAGGTCAATATTTACATGACCCGACCTTTGACCCGACCTGATATAGTTTAACCTAGATAACCCGGGTCCAGATAAAATTTTCAGATGTTCAGCAAAAACAATAGTATATTCACGTCGCACAACTCAGTTTTATTTTAAAATTTTATTGCAAAATTTAAAATTTATAATTTTTATTAAATCCTCCTTATGCCCAGCCTGATTTCAAACACATACACGCGAGATTTGTATTTGATTTTAGATTGCTTCTTTTGGCCGGTTCCTCCAGCAACTGGAACACTTGCAATTACAGGTAAAAAAAAAAATTTAACCAATTTTAATATTTTAATATTATTCAATGATTACAAGATAATCTCTTGCCTTTGCTGCTAGGTGTGAAACTGTGAATACTCTACTTTAACTACGGTATATCGAATTAATAAAATCTAATAAAATATACTAATTATTATTAAAACATATACCTTCCATCATAGTATAATATCTTGATTTCGATCTGCTCAAGGATTAAGTATTTTTCTAAACTTCTTAAATAAGTTCGCTTTCCTCTCAGCCTCACTTATTTTATACACAAACAAAGTTAGAAACTAAAATTTGTGTAACGTAAACGTTTTAAATATAAATATCTGATTCAACTCGGGTCAAGCAAAGGTGTGACCCTGACCTGATGGGTCAGGTTGAATATAAGACTCGTGTCAAATAAATAATGATAAACCCGATTTGGATTTTAAATATGGGTCAGGTCAAATGACCCGGGTTTGACCCGATCCTTTCAGGACACTAGTTCAAATTTTATATGAGCTTTAATTTATTTATTTTATATCAGAAAAGTTTTTTTAGTTTTTGTAATTTAACAACCAATTTAACAATAATGACCCAGTAAAATATATAATATTAATATAGAAAAGCATATTGAAGAAAATTATACTTTTCGCCGAAGTCCATTTTACCGGCGAAGGATATCTCACTGATGCCATTTTCGCGAAAGGCATTTTACCGAAGATATGAAATTTTTAATTTTCCTTTTCATTTTTTTAAAGACAAACAAATTATTTAACATTATACTAACTGAAGTTACGTTTGTCTATTTTTTTTTAATTAAAGGAAATTTAGTATTATTTGACAAATTCATCATACTCATCAATTTTCTGAAACAGGAGAAAATAAAATAATTTAAAGAGAATTTGTTCTTCAAACATTTTTATTTTCTTTGTATCGATTAATGATTAAGGAAATATGTTAATCAACAACATTTTCGGCGAAATGTCCTTCGACGAAATGGATAATTCAGGGAAAAGATTCAGCAAATGACTATTTCATGAAATGTCCATTCAATAAATTATCCTTCTGTAAAAACTTTCCTTTGGTGAAATGGCTTCAGCAAAATAGGTTTTTCAGTGAAACATACCGTAACCTTAATAATATACAGATATCTAAAAAATTTAGTGATATGCAGATAAGACCCAGAAAAGTCTTATGTAAGTAAGGTTTTGGTGGTGTAGAATGGGTCAGTCTTCCTTTTATAAATAATTTTTTGATAATTCTAGCCGGGAAATTATTTCCTTTTCTAAATACTGGCCGACATTATTATAATTCCAGTCCTGAAAGAGATGCTTAGAGCTAATACCTTACATATATGTGACGGGCCTCATAAATTAGTTTGAATTGTATATAAACATGTAACATGAATTACCAGTTAAATGGCATTATAATTTGATATTTCAAATGGTTAATTTGATCATTTAAAGACATCATCAGGAAATTTTTTATGTACATTATTTGCATATTTAATATATATAATATGTATATTGAGTAATTTTCTATGTGATACATTGTAAAAAATTTGTACAAAAAATTACATATATAATATTGTTAACTATATTGCATAAATTTCGAGAAATTTAAGTATTTGTGCAATATTGAATATCCTAAAAAATTTAGTGATAACGATAATAGCCGTTCAACAATATCATAATTTTGACTTATTTCACTCATATCCGATTTGTAAATATTTTAGGAGGAATTTAGTATAATTTTTATCAAACTAAGAAATGAAGAACTAATTTAAAATATAACTTGACATATTGGTCTGGTCATCATATTTATTACAACTATTACACTATTACATAAACATAACAAATTATCATTTAATAACAAACTAATCTATTATTCGCTATTTCAAAAAATTTATATGGTTACTTTATTATAATTTCATTGATAACCAATCTAGTTCTCTCTATATTATAAGAAAATTAATTATACTTATAATTACTTATTAATACTAGTGCATATCTAACAATTAGATTATTTAGATTTTCTATTCAATTTATAATTCCAAGCATAATACCAAGGATGTTGTTTTGGTTCAATTGGAATAGCTCCCTTACCTTTCAATTTATTAATCCAATGCTTAAGTGGTGTATCCCCATTATTTATTAAAGTTGGTTTCAAACAATCTAACACATATTTAAATAATAAATCACCAGTAAGTTCAGGGATCTCAAGTAAACTAGCAACATAATCAGCTGATTTAACTTTAATGTGTATTGGTTCCCAAATATCTCGTCCTCTCCAGCTACCGCCACCATTATTTGCAGCAATTCCAAGTACAAATGTATGCTTAGAGGTAAGTTTTGAAAATTTTCTCTCGTAACTCGCATAATAAGGATGAATTTTCAATGGATCTTTAAATGAAAAATCCACATAATCCATGTCAAACGAATCTCTGAAGCAAAATTGAAATGTGATTTGTGATTAGACCAATTTATTTTAAAAATAATATAATTATTCTTGATAAATTAGAACGCATACCTGTCTTCATCTTCATCATCACGCCTGTCTTTATCTTCATCATCACTACTGTCTTCATCATCATCATCACGCCTGTCTTTATCTTCATTATTATCACTTAAAAATTAAATAATTGTTAAATAATAAGTAAGCATAAATAAATAAAATGCATAAAAAAAAATTATAATCTATTTATAAACTCTACCTTAAGATTTCCAAGTCATTAGTAGGTAAGATTACAACAGATGCTGTCCATCTAGCATATGGATTGCAAACTTCATTATTAAACATATGCATAATTGTAATAATAGCTGTTACCGATACATCACTATTTACAGGAGAAGTAATCTTAATTCCAGTTCTTTCACTTTCAGTGTAAGAATCATAACCCCTAATTTTATTAAAGGAAGAAATTGTTTTGGTATATGGACGAATAGACTCAAAAATAGCTTGAATTTCTGGATCATGTTCTATTATATCTGGCCTTTTTTGTTTTATAGGAAATTTCTCAATTATATCATTAGCAATTGACAATAAATCTTTATCAAGATTTGAAAATTTAGGATGATTATCAATTGCAAATTGACGAAACCAGCCTCTAGTTAATGTAGTACAGATCCTAGCAAGTGCCAATTTATTAGAATTTTCTTGATCTTTGGAGATCATTGGAATGAGATATCTTTCAAGTGCAATAGCCATTGCTTCTTCTTTTACACAATTAATTTTTGTTTGATAGTCAAGTTTTTCAAAAAGTGATTTTTTTATCCATGCTTTAGACTATATTGTAATTATTTAATTAGTATTTAAATTGAAAATTTTAATTAAAATACATAATCATTATTGTCCATAAGGTTATTACCTGGTCATCCTTTAAACCTTGATGAATTGGATGATCACCATATTTAACACGTTCATGTAAATCATCATGAGGAACACGTTTTTGTACAAAAAGATCATCTTTATTTTCCAAGAAATCATCATTGGACATATTTAAGTTGATATGCGCACCTGGTATACCTCGTATAATTTCTGTTTCTTTAATACGAGTTTTCAACATAAGTTCAATTGACTCATCACGTTGTGGACTACATAGTGGTTGAATTGTGGGAATTTTATTATAACCTAATAAAATTCTCAACAAATGTAAATCTGAAATATTTTTATGAAAATCTGCTGGCCAATAAATGTGAGATGTTTTCAAAGCTTCAAGAATTTTCAATGGAGCAACAATACATAAGAAATTTTACAACAGTGGAAACATCATTTTATCTTTAATATTACAACATAATTCTAAAATCATTAGAGCACTCAGTTTTGGGTGAACATCATTAAACCTTTCAAATTCAATTTTGTTGATTTCATCATCATCTTGCATATCATCATCTTCCATATTATCTTCAGAATATTCAAAATCTTCAGAATCATTAGATATATCAGAATTGTCTTCAGAGATGTTATCATCCTCATCACTTTCATCCTCATCGCTTTCATCTTCATCACTTTCTTTTTTATTCAAATTCATATTTGATTTCATGTTCCTGAGATCCACTTTCTCAGAGACAAGTTCAATATCAAAGCTAATAAGTTTTTTATCTGTATGTTGATCAATATACTCTCCAACAAGTTTTAGTCCACCTCCTGGATAATGAATTAATTTTATATTTTTAAAAGTAGCACCAGATTCTTTTACTTTATTAATAAATAAAGTTGTTTGTAAAGGAGTTGCCACCATATCCCAATCATTAGGTTCACGATAATAAGAAATATGCCATTTTACAGCACGTGAGCCAATAAGAACAGGATAATCTATAAGAGGAGTGTTGTCTTCATTCTTGGTAATATTATTTAAAATGGTTAATATTTTCTTATAATTTTCAGCAAGGATTTGTGGATTAGTCATTTTTTTTTTGAAAATTAGCAGAAATGTAACTTTTTTAAAGTAAAGGTTCAGAAAGTAAAGGTTCAGAGTTGAAAAAAAGTTATATCAGAAAAATAAATATCATGTATTATTATATGGGCGGATTTGGCTTACTTGATGATCGACATTCCAAATCATCAAGTGAGCCAAATCCGCCCATATGTTTGTTAATGTTATTTTACCGAATTAGTCAACTGGAATCATAATATTATTTATTATGAATCATCAATTTATCATATAGAAAAAGAAATTATCTAATTTGACGTAATTGATTAAAATGCCACATGTAATCTGCATGTTGTAACACTTGGTGTGAATGAGTGCGTGGATGATAAAGAATAATTATATCTTTTATAATGATTGATAATAATAGATTCTAACGTAACGATGCTAGGTCATTTGATCGCGCAAATAGGATGAAAGGTCACATGGTTTTAGATGTGAATTTTGGTATGAAAACTTGATAACAAATGTGATTTTATTATGATTAATATTCAATGTGGATGATAGTCTGAACAGATCTAAAATGGGTCACAAAATATTGACCAATAAACTAGTTTATTATATATGGAATGATAATTTAAAAAATATGTTCACTTTGTGTTAACTCAAAAGATGTCATTAAACATGTTCAAAAAAGAGTAAATATATTGGTTAAAATTTTCATAAATTTAGTAATAATTTAAGAATTATAGTAGCCAGTCAGATAATTTCCATATTTTTCAGATAAAAATGATGTAAAAAAAGTTTTATTTATTGAAAGTGATAAGTTCCAAATCAAATTTGCATAATGTGACTCCATTCTTACCTAAAATTGTCATTATGAGAGCTTTTAAGATAACAGATTTCAGTATTACATAATTATGATAATCAATGCAAAATTGATCGTATTTCTTATATTTCTGATTATTGCTATTTTCGTAAAGGTGTGACCAATTTATTGGGAAATCATAAGATTGCTGAGCTCAAAATCAACACTTGTGATTTCCATAAATTAATATTGTTTGATTTTAATTGTTTATTATTTTATATTTATTCTATATAAAGGATTGTACAATTAATATCAATTAATACTAAGAGTTAAGAATTTACAAAAATTATGATATATTATAGATTAACAAGCTTCACAATCAGTAAATAAATTAAGGGGAGCGTGTAGTCACGTGATTTATAATAAAACTATTGTTACGAAAATTATTTTTATACTCTAGATTTTATTTTATTTATAGTTTATTAGTATATATACATATATATTTTTATAGTTTATAGTTTATTTATTATATATATTATTGGGAAAAAAACCAACGGAAATTGGAAGATTAGATAATAAGTGGCTGGGATGATGATCATCGGAGGCTTAGTAGTACAATTTGAACTTCAGACAAGATATACAAAGGACGATTTTTACTGTGGATTATTTGACCAAAGGACAAGTTGAACTATAGAATGATTGATTTTTGGAGAGTTAGAAATTGTTAACGATTATTAGTATAAGAAAAACGAATATTACAGAGCGCCGAGTGAGGCAGTAATATGGTTGATTCTTGTCGATTGTTGATACTTGTTAATAAAGATACACAATTTATTTCTGATTTCCAATCATTTATCGTTTGTTATTGTTTAATTATATACAGTTTATTAATTTCAGATTTATTAATAAAACACGAATATTTATTAATTTGTGCTGATCCTTTACTGATCGTTAGCCGATATATTCATTTTATTTTACATCTCTATATCGGATTTTATCCTATACTTACCTGTCAAATTGATATAAATTTCTTACCGATTTATTGCCGAATTTTGTAAATTACCGATATTTTATTTCTGTTACTACCTGACGAATAGTGAACAATCGGTAGTGACACTATCAATGGCACAAAATTTAAAATATGAAAAGCCCAAGAACAAAGTACTTTAGTTTGAATATTTATGTATTATTTTGACATTATTTTTGTAAAGACATGTGAAAACATATCTATGGAATACAAATACATTAAATTAATAAATGATAAAATGCTTTTTTATAAAAAATAATATGTTTTCCAGTAGAGTGATTTTAAACTTTCACTAAAACGATTCGCAACCTTTTTGGAACTTCTGTTGATATTTTCTCCAAGATATAATATTTAAGTCCAAATAAAAACTATACCTACTAGTGAACTCTCAGGTTCACAAAGGTAAGATAATAATATGTTTTTTTTTAATATATTGTAATTTACAAATGTTTTATTTAGACACGGACGTACTGAATAGCACAAAAAATTTTATGCGCCATGAAAATCAATTAAAAGACGTGATTACACACTTTTTTTTTTAAAAGAAAAACGCGTTTATTAATTAAGAACAATATTTAAATTGATTACATAATTTCTAAACACCTAGGAAATAAAATTTACATTATTATATTCTCTATAACAAGCGGCATGTTGTTTTATAACAAGTAGCATGTTGTTTTACAACAAGTGACTTGTTGTTTTTTACAACATGCTTTTGAATTGTACGGTACGCCAAAGGTATGTCGGAAAAAAAGGTTGTCCGACATAGATCACGTGAACGGTGATCAGTTGGTAAGGTGATTCTTTTTGTAGTTTGTAGTAGTACAAGTGATTCTTTTTTTTATTAAGGCAATAATCGACAAATGTAATTCGAAAACGGCGATAAAACAAATTAATTAAAAAAAAAATCAATTAAATTACATTATTATCTATTTTTAAGTCAATAAATTAATTAATTAATTAAATTAATTAAATTACATTATTATCTACTTTAAATCTAAAAATAAAAAATTAAATCTATCTATAACCTTTAGCTCTGTCAACTCCGTTAACTCCCTTAGTACCTTTAACTTCCTTAGTACCGTCAACTTCCTTAGTACCGTTAACTCCCTTGGTACCGTTAACTTCCTTAGTACTGTTAACTTCCTTAGTAGCGTTAACTCTCTTAGCACCATCAACACCGTTAACTCCCATAGCTCCCCCATAATTGTAATTTGGGTCATAATTGAAATAAGGATCAGCTGAGTAATCGTAATTTTCGTCACCTTCATTGGGCTCTCTATTAGCATCTCCCATATTAACAGTATAATAGGGACCTCCATGATACTTTAGCCTTAACTCACCTAAAGGTACCGATTCAGAACATTGAGGATCTTCAGCACTACATTCAATAAAGGCAGCTGGATTCTGATCAGGATTAACTATATATAATTCTTCACCAAAATGTTTATAGGACCCAATAAATGGAATTGGCCATGATGGAGGCAAACGAGGAATTGGATCACCACGAACTATAGTTCTTATTGCTTTTATGTTCTCATCAACAAATTTAGCAAATTTTTTATCACCCACTCTTGGTTGACCAAATGTAGTAAGAAACAAATTTTCATTTTTAGCTAATTCTGGCGCTTTATGTATAGCATCTAATGCTGATAATGTAGCAAGTGCTATGGTAAAAAAAAAAAAGACTGTTAGAAAGTTATAATTAATTATGTAATTATTTTTTAATTTATTGAACTTACCACCACCTAAACTGTGACCCGTAAATCCGACCTGGAAAGTGGGATTTTCTCGGATTAATTTTACAAGATCATCGGTAACTTGAGGTTGAATTTGTTTCCAAGCATCAAGAAATCCACGGTGTACCAAGGTACCAGGTGCAGATTCCCAAGAGTCGCGAGTAATGATAATGTCAGTAATATAATTTCTAATACTTCCTGGTACCGTTCCTCTAAATGCTACGATGATTGCTTGTTTTTCTGGATCCTTGGCTATGTAACCTACATATTTATTATTTTGTTAGTAAACGCAAAAAGTTGACGATGTGTGGCACAGTAATAATATAAAATACCCCTTGTATTAAGCCGAGGGTTGGTAATTTCTTTAACCAATTGGGTACCCTTAGTTGCCAGACAGACTTCTCCACAGTCCCAATTTTGAAGAGGACGATTACTATAAGTAGCAGCAGCGTAATTAGCAAAGCTTATTAAATTAGGGATAGATGTAATGGAACCAAGAGTATTAGGTACTGGAGCAGCTTCGATTAATACTGATATAAAGATTAAAGAGATTAAAGAAATTAACTTGAAGGATAATGTGTGTTGTAAAAGATGTGAAAAGGAGTTATGCGTGTATTTGGTAGGAGTTACTTTGTAACTTGAGGAAATAATTTGCTGCTGCATTGCTTATTGCTTTACAGAGGAAATGTTTTAGTATAATGTTTTAATGTAAAAGTGTCAGAGACGTTCTTTTATACATTTTTTGGAGTTATGATCGCATCTTTATTGAAATTCAATTAATAGTAAATCATCACACTTTTTCTTTATATCGACAGATTTGATAAAATACCTTGTAAATAATTCTTCTTTTTGAATTGTAATTAAAAATTTCCAAGACTTTTGATTATCAACTATTTGACCGTATAAAGCAACGTTAATATTTGTCCCACATCTGCAAATGTTAAACATGTTAGATCATTTTGTTTATAAAGGGTTAAAAATATTGAAGATCAATGACCATATATATTTTCATTTTTAATGTGGGACAAAATAAAATCCCGAGTTTCGGTATTTACGAATAAAAATACATTTCCGAAATTGCATTTAATGTGGAACAAAATAAAATATTGTTAAATTCCCGAAAATCCCGAAATATTAGCAGATGTAATTTTCGTCAATACTGATCCAAATCTAAAGGGGGAAAGAATGAAAAAAAAAATTAGCAAAAAAAAATACTAGATATGGAAAAAATATTATTATTGAAAATGAGGATTGAAAAAAAAAGGTGCACCGCAACATCAATCCGATCTCTAATTTGGATTTAAGTCTAAAAAAAAAAAAAGAATAATATTAATAATGTACTTACTAATAGAAAAATATATAAAATTAAATGAAAAAATTATATAAAAAAAATAGTATAGATCTTATAAAGGAAAAAAAATTAAAAAAATTTGGTTTAAATATAGAAAAGAAAATTAAAAGAAAAATTTTCAGATATAGAAAAATCAAACTGAAACTCTATAAAAAATTTTATCCTTTCCCGGATCCATTCAACGGAAAATGTAAATAATTCGATAAATTCCGTGATATAAGGTTATTAATTCCGGAAATATGAGTTGTTTACGGAAAAAAGACGGAATATAAAAAAACGGATCGACTTTTTTTACAGGGAAAAAGAAATAAAAAAAATCAGTTTAAAAAAAAAACCAAAATAAAAATTGAAAAAAAAAATTCAGTCTAAAAATAAACCAAAAAAATAAAAGAATAAAAGAACTATTTTGCAGGAACCCATGAATTAGTTACTATGCAGTTAATATCCAACACGTGACGACATGTATCAAGAGCATTGTACTCCGAACAATCTAAAGAACGTGGATTTGGATTTATTAAAAACATTACATCACCTTATTTGCGGTACGGCTATTAGATGGTGGAAAGATTTGAGGCTATATATACCAAACAGTGGATTTATGAACCTACCTCGATATGCCGATATTCGATATACCGATATATTAAAAAATTCGATATAACGATAAAATTTTACTTCAATTTTATGATATTTTTCAAAGATTTTCATATAGGTCGCAGGTCTAAAAGGTATTATTTGTGCAACAGTTTGGCAAAGACTAACTGTAGCTAGTAAAATCATAGCACCTTGCGCAGCTTTAAACATGCTTTCGGCAAGCTACTCTGCCACGGTTAATATTTGAATAAAGTAATAAAGTTATTAAGTATAAGTTTCCAAAAAAATTTGCTTATATAAAAAGAATGTAATATGAAAGTTTCCAATAATGTTTGTTTAAAAACAAGATGGAAATTTCTGATGGTAAGTTCTTAATTAATTAGTTTGCTTTAACAAAAAAATCTTATTTATTTTACCAATTTGTTTTTAGATGGATCATTTAACAACGTTTTTTTTATATTTTTAAAAATTATTATCATTTATTTATTTATTTATTATTTTATCTTGGATTACATAAACACTAAGACTAGATAAAGTAGTAAGTGTTTTACAAAATTCTAGCATTAATAAAAAAATAGATCATTGTAAAACAATTTTTATTGTAAAATCCGTTTTCTATATTAAACATATAATTTCATAATATTACTATATTTAATGCTTATATAATTAAAATACTTATGTATATTCCATAGCATAAATGAAGACAAATAAAAACTTACACATAAAATGAATAAAATATATAAATTAATTAAAATGAATATTGAGCTTTTCCTTGAAGAAAGTCCAATGATTTAGGTCTTCTCTATTAGAGAATTTTGTCATCTCACCTTATTTATGAGTGGTAAAAACGATTCAAACAATAAATAAAAAAATTAACATTTTATTATATTCTTAATAAATTCTATTACAATAAATAATTCACTAATAATTGTAACTGTGTTATTTCACAATAAAAACTATTAAATATTAATACTCTTTTAGTCATCCCTCTTCTTAATTGCAACAGTCTCTATTTAATTAGATATAATTAAATTTACATTTATTTTTTATTTATTGTTCAGGGTAGTGTTCTGAAAGGGTCGAGTCGGGTCAGGTTTGAGGATGTATTTGAACTCGACCCGTGTATAAAAACCAATCTGTACAAATACCCAGGTCAATATTTACATGACCCGACCTTTGACCCGACCTGATATAGTTTAACCTAGATAACCCGGGTCCAGATAAAATTTTCAGATGTTCAGCAAAAACAATAGTATATTCACGTCGCACAACTCAGTTTTATTTTAAAATTTTATTGCAAAATTTAAAATTTATAATTTTTATTAAATCCTCCTTATGCCCAGCCTGATTTCAAACACATACACGCGAGATTTGTATTTGATTTTAGATTGCTTCTTTTGGCCGGTTCCTCCAGCAACTGGAACACTTGCAATTACAGGTAAAAAAAAAAATTTAACCAATTTTAATATTTTAATATTATTCAATGATTACAAGATAATCTCTTGCCTTTGCTGCTAGGTGTGAAACTGTGAATACTCTACTTTAACTACGGTATATCGAATTAATAAAATCTAATAAAATATACTAATTATTATTAAAACATATACCTTCCATCATAGTATAATATCTTGATTTCGATCTGCTCAAGGATTAAGTATTTTTCTAAACTTCTTAAATAAGTTCGCTTTCCTCTCAGCCTCACTTATTTTATACACAAACAAAGTTAGAAACTAAAATTTGTGTAACGTAAACGTTTTAAATATAAATATCTGATTCAACTCGGGTCAAGCAAAGGTGTGACCCTGACCTGATGGGTCAGGTTGAATATAAGACTCGTGTCAAATAAATAATGATAAACCCGATTTGGATTTTAAATATGGGTCAGGTCAAATGACCCGGGTTTGACCCGATCCTTTCAGGACACTAGTTCAAATTTTATATGAGCTTTAATTTATTTATTTTATATCAGAAAAGTTTTTTTAGTTTTTGTAATTTAACAACCAATTTAACAATAATGACCCAGTAAAATATATAATATTAATATAGAAAAGCATATTGAAGAAAATTATACTTTTCGCCGAAGTCCATTTTACCGGCGAAGGATATCTCACTGATGCCATTTTCGCGAAAGGCATTTTACCGAAGATATGAAATTTTTAATTTTCCTTTTCATTTTTTTAAAGACAAACAAATTATTTAACATTATACTAACTGAAGTTACGTTTGTCTATTTTTTTTTAATTAAAGGAAATTTAGTATTATTTGACAAATTCATCATACTCATCAATTTTCTGAAACAGGAGAAAATAAAATAATTTAAAGAGAATTTGTTCTTCAAACATTTTTATTTTCTTTGTATCGATTAATGATTAAGGAAATATGTTAATCAACAACATTTTCGGCGAAATGTCCTTCGACGAAATGGATAATTCAGGGAAAAGATTCAGCAAATGACTATTTCATGAAATGTCCATTCAATAAATTATCCTTCTGTAAAAACTTTCCTTTGGTGAAATGGCTTCAGCAAAATAGGTTTTTCAGTGAAACATACCGTAACCTTAATAATATACAGATATCTAAAAAATTTAGTGATATGCAGATAAGACCCAGAAAAGTCTTATGTAAGTAAGGTTTTGGTGGTGTAGAATGGGTCAGTCTTCCTTTTATAAATAATTTTTTGATAATTCTAGCCGGGAAATTATTTCCTTTTCTAAATACTGGCCGACATTATTATAATTCCAGTCCTGAAAGAGATGCTTAGAGCTAATACCTTACATATATGTGACGGGCCTCATAAATTAGTTTGAATTGTATATAAACATGTAACATGAATTACCAGTTAAATGGCATTATAATTTGATATTTCAAATGGTTAATTTGATCATTTAAAGACATCATCAGGAAATTTTTTATGTACATTATTTGCATATTTAATATATATAATATGTATATTGAGTAATTTTCTATGTGATACATTGTAAAAAATTTGTACAAAAAATTACATATATAATATTGTTAACTATATTGCATAAATTTCGAGAAATTTAAGTATTTGTGCAATATTGAATATCCTAAAAAATTTAGTGATAACGATAATAGCCGTTCAACAATATCATAATTTTGACTTATTTCACTCATATCCGATTTGTAAATATTTTAGGAGGAATTTAGTATAATTTTTATCAAACTAAGAAATGAAGAACTAATTTAAAATATAACTTGACATATTGGTCTGGTCATCATATTTATTACAACTATTACACTATTACATAAACATAACAAATTATCATTTAATAACAAACTAATCTATTATTCGCTATTTCAAAAAATTTATATGGTTACTTTATTATAATTTCATTGATAACCAATCTAGTTCTCTCTATATTATAAGAAAATTAATTATACTTATAATTACTTATTAATACTAGTGCATATCTAACAATTAGATTATTTAGATTTTCTATTCAATTTATAATTCCAAGCATAATACCAAGGATGTTGTTTTGGTTCAATTGGAATAGCTCCCTTACCTTTCAATTTATTAATCCAATGCTTAAGTGGTGTATCCCCATTATTTATTAAAGTTGGTTTCAAACAATCTAACACATATTTAAATAATAAATCACCAGTAAGTTCAGGGATCTCAAGTAAACTAGCAACATAATCAGCTGATTTAACTTTAATGTGTATTGGTTCCCAAATATCTCGTCCTCTCCAGCTACCGCCACCATTATTTGCAGCAATTCCAAGTACAAATGTATGCTTAGAGGTAAGTTTTGAAAATTTTCTCTCGTAACTCGCATAATAAGGATGAATTTTCAATGGATCTTTAAATGAAAAATCCACATAATCCATGTCAAACGAATCTCTGAAGCAAAATTGAAATGTGATTTGTGATTAGACCAATTTATTTTAAAAATAATATAATTATTCTTGATAAATTAGAACGCATACCTGTCTTCATCTTCATCATCACGCCTGTCTTTATCTTCATCATCACTACTGTCTTCATCATCATCATCACGCCTGTCTTTATCTTCATTATTATCACTTAAAAATTAAATAATTGTTAAATAATAAGTAAGCATAAATAAATAAAATGCATAAAAAAAAATTATAATCTATTTATAAACTCTACCTTAAGATTTCCAAGTCATTAGTAGGTAAGATTACAACAGATGCTGTCCATCTAGCATATGGATTGCAAACTTCATTATTAAACATATGCATAATTGTAATAATAGCTGTTACTGATACATCATTATTTACAGGAGAAGTAATCTTAATTCCAGTTCTTCCACCTTCAGTGTAATCGCCCTCAATTTCATCAAAGGAAGAAATTGTTTCGGTATATGGACGAATAGACTCAAAAATAGCTTGAATTTCTGGATCATGTTCTATTATATCTGGCCTTTTTTGTTTTATAGGACACTTCTCAATTATATCATTAGCAATTGACAATAAATCTTTATCAAGATTTGAAACTCTAGGATGATTATCAATTGCAAATTGACGAAACCAGCCTCTAGTTAATGTAGTACAGATCCTAGCAAGTGCCAATTTATAAGAATTTTCTTGATCTTTGGAGATCATTGGAATGAGATATCTTTCAAGTGCAATAGCCATTGCTTCTTCTTTTACACAATTAATTTTTGTTTGATAGTCAAGTTTTTCAAAAAGTGATTTTTTTATCCATGCTTTAGACTATATTGTAATTATTTAATTAAACAATTAGTATTTAAATGAAAATTTTAATTAAAATACATAATCATTATTGTCCATAAGGTTATTACCTGGTCATCTTTTAAACCTTGATGAATTGGATGATCACCATATTTAACACGTTCATGTAAATCATCATGAGGAACACGTTTTTGTACAAAAAGATCATCTTTATTTTCCAAGAAATCATCATTGGACATATTTAAGTTGATATGCGCACCTGGTATACCTCGTATAATTTCTGTTTCTTTAATACGAGTTTTCAACATAAGTTCAATTGACTCATCACGTTGTGGACTACATAGTGGTTGAATTGTGGGAATTTTATTATAACCTAATAAAATTCTCAACAAATGTAAATCTGAAATATTTTTATGAAAATCTGCTGGCCAATAAATGTGAGATGTTTTCAAAGCTTCAAGAATTTTCAATGGAGCAACAATACATAAGAAATTTTACAACAGTGGAAACATCATTTTATCTTTAATATTACAACATAATTCTAAAATCATTAGAGCACTCAGTTTTGGGTGAACATCATTAAACCTTTCAAATTCAATTTTGTTGATTTCATCATCATCTTGCATATCATCATCTTCCATATTATCTTCAGAATATTCAAAATCTTCAGAATCATTAGATATATCAGAATTGTCTTCAGAGATGTTATCATCCTCATCACTTTCATCCTCATCGCTTTCATCTTCATCACTTTCTTTTTTATTCAAATTCATATTTGATTTCATGTTCCTGAGATCCACTTTCTCAGAGACAAGTTCAATATCAAAGCTAATAAGTTTTTTATCTGTATGTTGATCAATATACTCTCCAACAAGTTTTAGTCCACCTCCTGGATAATGAATTAATTTTATATTTTTAAAAGTAGCACCAGATTCTTTGACTTTATTAATAAATAAAGTTGTTTGTAAAGGAGTTGCCACCATATCCCAATCATTAGGTTCACGAAAAGAAGAAATATGCCATTTTACAGCACGTGAGCCAATAAGAACAGGATAATCTATAAGAGGAGTGTTGTCTTCATTCTTGGTAATATTATTTAAAATGGTTAATATTTTCTTATAATTTTCAGCAAGGATTTTTGGATTAGTCATTTTTTTTTTTGAAAATTAGCAGAAATGTAACTTGTTTAAAGTAAAGGTGTTCAAAGTTGAAAAAAAAATTATATCTGAAAAAAAATTATCTTATATATATATTGATTATTTGTTAATGTATTAGTCAACTGGAATCATAATATGATTTATTAGATTTCTTTATGAATCATCAATTTGTCATATAAACTTATATAGGAAAAAGAAATTATCTAATTTGACGTAATTGATTAAAATGATACAAGTCATACAACCACATGTAACGTAACACTTAGTGTGAATGAGTGGATGAGAAAGAATAATTATCATTATTGTTATAGTAACACCAATATCTTTTATAATGATTGATAATGATGTAGTAGTTTATAGTTATAACTAATAATAGTTTTATAATGTAACAATGCTAGGTCATTTGATCGTGCAAATAAGTCATATAGGATGGAAGGTCATATGATTTTCAATAATTTGACACGAAGATTTGATAAAAAATGTGATTTTAAGATTATTATTCGATGTGGATGATAGTCTGAACAGATCTAAAATGGGTCACAAAATATTGACCAATAAATTATACTAACTAAATGTTAATTTAAAAAATAGTAATAATTTAAGAGTTATAATAGTAGCCAGTTAGATAATTTCCATATTTTTCTTAAAAATGATGTAAAAAAGTTTTATTTATTGAAAGTAATATGTTCCAAATCAAATTTGCATACTGCGGTCTATTCAAAAGCTGACTGACTCCATTCTTACCTAAAATTGTAATTACAAGACCCTATAAAAAATTTTTATCCGAATATTTCCATTATTTCTCCGTGTCTTCCGTAAAAATTCCGTGAAAATGATACTTCACGGATATCCATGTTAGCGAGATGAAAATTTCCATGATTTAAGGCTATAAATTCCATGAAAATGATACATTCACGGAAAAAACATGGAAAGATAAAACACATATCAGATTTTTTACAGGGAGAGCTTTTAAGATACAGATTTCAGTATTACATAATTCGTATTTCTGATATTTCTAATTATTGCTATTTTCGTAAAGGTGTGACCAATTTATTGGGGAACCATAAGATTGGCAATCAATTTTAGCTCAAAATAAATTAATATTGTTTGATTTTAATTGTTTATTATTTTATATTTATTCTATAAAAAGGATTGTATAGTTAATATCAATTAATACTAATTTACGAAAATTATGATATATGTATTACTTATCTCCTGGCTAATTAGGAATAAGTAAAATTTTACTATTCCAATTAGCCAGGAGATAATTGATTTATCCCCTGCCATTTATATAGTTTAGACTATTTTAGACTATTTTAGACTATTTTAGTCTATTGTGTAATATCAATAAATATAAATACCCTATTTGTAATCATTTTTACATTTTTTTTTCTCTCCTTTTTACATTTTTTTTCTCTCCTTTTTAATTTCAAAATAAAATGTCTAGTTTCAAAAAAGCCTCCGAATTATTAAATTCAAGTAATGATACTGTCACTATAAATGAATTAAAAAGAAGATTGACTCATTTAGAAAATAATCAACTTTCTGAAATACACAAATCATTATCAAAATCGTAATAAAGAAACATTTGATCGTCCTTGTATAGAAACTTTACAAAAGTATGTCTCTTCCGCAAAACCAAAAAATACTAACAAAAATACACGTTTATGGGTTTCTAGATTTGAAAGCTTTGTAAATGACACTCAACCAAACATAGATTTAATGACCCTTTATGACAAAAAGGCCATTGCAATATTGTTATGTGAATTCATTATAGTTATTCAAACAAAAGACAAAAAGGAATACAAAGCAAACTCACTGTATAATGGTATATGTGCTATAAATCGGTTTTATCAGGAAATGTTTAAAGATAGAGAACCATTCAATATACATGAGGATTTTGCATTTAGAATAGTGCGTGATACATTACATACAAGAATGATAGAATTGGAAGAAATCAATAATGGTGAATATAATGGAGCTGATCCTCTTACTGATGAAGAAATGGTAAAAATCTTTGAACATCCTGATATATCAAGTAATTCTCCAGATGGATTATTAAGGAGAGTCTTTTTATGGGTAGGATGTTGTACAGCACGTAGAGGGGGATCATATCATAGTATTATGGCTAGCCATTTTAAAAAACGTGATGATGGAGGATATAACATTGTGACAATTCATGATAAAACTCACCAGGGAGGATATTATCACCAAACAAATTCTAATCAACAACCTGTTCATATTATTCCACTGGATGAACCAGGAACATATGGAGCATGTCATGACATTAGAAAATACTTGAGTTTACGGCCTAATAATGCAGAAGAAAACTTTTTTCTTCGTATTAATAAAGATATTGAAGGTATAATTTTATATGATTTCTTTCTCTACAATATTTTTAACACAAACTAATAAATTTCAATATATTATTTAGAAAATTGGTATTCTACTTTTCATTTAGGTCGAGATAAATTATCTGGAATGTTAAAAGAAATTTGTAATATTACGGGTATTGATTGCATAAACAGAAGAATTGTAAATCATTCATTACGAAAACGTACTGCACAAAAGTTAAATGACGAAGGATTGGATTCACAAGCTATAATGAATGTAACATTGCACCGGTCCATTGCAGNCGTACTGCACAAAAGTTAAATGACGAAGGATTGGATTCACAAGCTATAATGAATGTAACATTGCACCGGTCCATTGCAGGATTAAATGCGTTAGTATATATTATAATATAATATTTAATTTTTTTATTTTGTCATTAAAATTCATTTATTTTATAGATATCGAACACAAAATGAAAAGCAAAAATTGGACATCGCAAAGTTAACACTTCCAGGCATTTCAAAAGTATCTAATTAATTCTTTATTATAAATTATCATTATAATTATTAATTTTTTTTACACTTTATTTATAAAAGGATATTTCGATGCAAGAAAATTTGGAAAAATCTGCCGAAGATCTAAATACGGAACAAAGAATTGAAAATTTATCATCTCAGGAAGAGACTAAAACAGAACCATTCACTGAAATTCAAAATATCACAATTCCTTTAAAGCGTAAAGATGATTTAATTGATAATTTTCGTCTTAAGTTTGTTAAATGTAGTAATTTTACTATTAACATTACAAAATAAATAATTTGTCTAGTTATCTAGAGTAAATATGTACTAGAAACGCATAAATAAATATATATAAATTGATCATCCAGTAGGTATAAGTACAATCGGATAACTGTATAAATGGTGCCGATCAGGGGATAATATAGATTAACAAGCTTCACAATCAGTAAATAAATTAAGGGGAGCGTGTAGTCACGTGATTTATAATAAGACTATCAATGGCGCAAAATTTAAAATATGAAAAGCCCAAGAACAAAGTACTTAAGTTTGAATAATTATGTATTATTTTATTATTATTTTTGTAAAGATATATGAAAACATATCCATACAAATACATTAAATTAATAAATGATAAAATACTTTTTTTAAAAACTGAAAAATAATATATACTTACTAGCAGTCACCCGTTGCTTCGCACCGGTGATATCACCTTATTATTAAATTTGTACATTAAATTTTATTGGCTAATTAATGAGCTGATCATTTTATATTTTGAATTCATTCTTTTTAGGTCTTTCGGTTCTTCTTTGTAACTACTAAAGTATGTTTTTTATTTTTTTGTATTTGCTTATTTATTACATGTAATTTCCGTTCACTACTAACTTTATTTCTTCTTTTAGTTTATGGGTTTTGTTTTTACTTGGTCCCCTGTTTATCTCATTTCGTCCCTTCTCTATTTTTTTGTTTTCTTTTTGTCTTTTCATCTCTTTTGCTCTTTTTATTCTTCCCTTCCTTCATTTTTTCCATTGTTTTTTATTTCCTCTTCGTTCCTTCATCTTTTTCATTCCTTTACAATACCCTTCATTTCTTTCATTTTTATTCCATTCCCACTTCATCTTTTTCGTTCCTTTACACTATCCTTTGTCATTTTCATTTTTTTTCCATTCCCACTTCTCTTTACACTACCCTTTGTTCCTTTCATTTTTTTATTCCCTTTGCTCCATTTCGTCCCCCTCCATTATTTTCATTTTTTTCATTCCCACTTGATCTTTTTTGTTCCTTTTGTTTCTTTCACTCCCCTTTGCTCCATTTCGTTTCTCCCTCACTCCCCCTTCGTTTCTTTTATTCCCTTTTACTCTCCTTATTTTTTCATTCACCCTCATTTTTTTGATTAATTTTTTCTTATTTTATATTACTTAGCTATCAGTGCCTATTTTTTTGATTACCATATAATAATCCTGTAATGTATATTTTGTAATAATTGACAATATAATTGCTATTATAATTTAATATATATTAAAATACCATATTACAATGAAATGTAAAAAAATAATANATAGGAGAACTTTATTGTGTGATTCAAGTGACGCGCGTCAAGTATCAATTTACATCTGACGCACGTCAGCTGCATCTGACGCAAATCGACACTTGACGCACAACATATATATATTATCAATTAAAAAATATCATATTAATATCAATATCTCTTTTTTTTAATAAAGCAATTTTTTATATAAGTTTTATTTCTTATATTGGTATGAATCAATACTAACTAAAATAACTAATTATATTATAATTACTTAAGAAAATAAAAATTATATCACTAAAGTTTTATATTATACTATTAATCAAATTTGAACTGCAAATATTTATATATTAAATATTAAAGAAAACTAATAAAATTGAATTTAATTTTACAATATTAATAATAAAAATAGAATTTTTCTAACTATCACCGGGGGTGATGATCACTGATGACTGAAATTATGACGATCGACCAGCATTAAAAAAATAGAGTGCCAGTAAAATTTGATAATTCTGGCCAACGGTGATACTCACCCCCGGTGATTTGAAGTAAAAAACTTATAATTAATTAAATTGATTTTAAAATTGATTTTTATGAATTTGAAAAATCAAACTATTTATCCAGCGTTCAATTTAATTGAAAAAACCTTACTCATCTTTCTATCAACGTTGGTCAATTTTCCTATATTTGATATGTTGTGGTGATTTTTTTAAAAAAATAATAATTTTGTAAATATATTTAATATATAATATTTTATTTTTTATTTAATAATAATAAAAAATTGAAAGAAAAAGAAAAAAAAATTTAAAAAAAAATTTGGGGGAGGGAAGAAAAAGGGTAAAGAAAGAAATCAGTTTAAAAAAAAAGGGAAACTTCCGAAAAAAAGGAATCCGAAAAAAATAAGTACAAAAAAAATTCTGAGAAAAAAGGACAAAGACCAAAACAATGGGGATTATTTAATAAAAAAAAGAATGAGAAAAAAAATTTTTCGGGTTGGAAAAAAAAGGGAGAAAAATTTTTTGAAAAAAAAATCGGACAAAAAAAATTAATAATCAAAAAAAAAATTGATTAGTTGAAATGTTCGCTAGAATAATTATTTATTTAAAGAAAATCCCACTGAATTTTCCATGTATACATACTCCAAAATATAAACGTCTAAAAAAAATAAATGAATCTTTAGCAACAGTTTGTTATAATATTAAAGAAAAGAAAAGAAAGAAGGGTGAAGGAAAGGAAAGTAGTGGAAAGGGCGAAGAAAGAGAGAGTGAAAGAATGAAAGAAAAAAGGGGGGAAATGAGAACTTAAAAAAAAAAAAGCTTTAGCTTTAACGTAAATGGTCAAATTGCAGATCATTATATTTTTGATAATAAATCTCTGATTACTTATTTGAGTTGTTGTTCTCTATTACTATATCGTACTGGTTGAATATTATTATCTTTATTTTTAGTTTTCATATTAAAGTATGGTTCGTTATTAGAAAAAAAGAAGAAATTAATTTAAAGGTTAAAAGAATATTAAAGAATTTAAAGTAACTTACTAAAGTTTTTAACGAAAACTTAATATGAGTATACTCATGATTATCATGTGATTAACAATAATATATATGATTATCAAAGTTTTACGCACATGTACGTAAATTTTTAATATAACTTTTTAAAAAAATGTTAATACAAAATAATAGAACTATTTGCGAAAGCAATTATTACAGATTCAGTTACAGTAATCATAAAATATAAAATCAAAAAATTATATATACATTTTATTAAGCTATGATGTACAAAATCATTTCCTTTATTTCCTTATTCTTTCATTAAATTTGATCTGCGAGAAAAAATTTTGCCGATCTATTATACAAAAGGCAGATCAAATTCCGATGAAAAAAATATGGAAGTCCAAACTATCTTTCTTTTCCATAGAATTTATAGAAAACAATATAGTTAGTATCATGTTTATCTTCATTTTATTCAATTGATTGTTATAAGTTTTAGTCTATTTCATCGACAATTATTTCATGGGCAGTCATATTGAGTTCATTTCACTGACGGGAATGGTTTATTAAATTTTAAAGAAAAAAATATGGTTACGGTACATTTCACCAAAATTCATTTCACCGAAGGGATATCTTCAAAAATGATCGACCGTGATTGGTCTATTATTTCTATTATTATTACAAATTATTGTACAACCTAAAAATTTGGATGGTATTTGTTACCGTATTACAAAATTTATGTACAACCATGTGACTAATTGTGGCTTCCAAATTATGCTTATAATAGCTAACTTGCTCCGATACTCCGTGAAAACTTTCCTTTCCTTCCCTAAATTTTTAAGATGACTTTACCTTATTTACCAGATGATTGTATTTATCATATTTTACAACACCTTCAAAATGATCATTCAACTTTATTTAATTGTTTATTAACTAATCGATTTTGGTGCAAATCAACAATTCCTTTACTTTATGCAAATCCTTTTATTATACCTACATCTGAAAAAAATTGCTCAATAATCTTGACCTTAATTTATTGCTTTAATAAAGCAGAAATTTTACAATTGAAGAATCAATTAGGACCAAACCGAATTAATAATATTAATTTAGATGAAGAATACAAACCATTATTTGAATATTTAAAATATTTGGAAATATATAATCATCATACAATAGATACCATAATTATTAAATGTATGTTAAAATATTTTTCAGGTCCATCTGTTTTTTCTAAGGATATATATGATATTATTTCAATATTTCATATATCAATTTTACGTCAAAGTAAAAACATTAAACAATTAGATATTTCATCATATATATTTTATAAAGAAAGTTATAAAACCTTTGATGTTCAAAATTTCACTTCAAATTTAACAAAATTAAATTCATTATCATTTAATATTTATAAATCAGGCAATGGAATTGAACAAGAATTTTTAAGTAATATAGTAAATAATTGTTTAAATTTGAGAAAATTAATAATTAAGTTTCCTCAAAGATATGAAACTTTCAATCATTTTGTTACTTTTGAAAAGCTTTGTACAATTATTCAAGAGCTAAACAAACTTGAAATATTTAAGATAGCAAATTGTTATTCTTTATTAAATAATGTTCTTTGGTCTTTAGAATTTCAAAAGAATTCTTTAGTTAGTATTGAATTTACAAATACCAACTTTAGTAATGTTAGTTTAAAAAATTTTAATAATTTATATAATTTAAAATATTTAAGTTTTAAATATTGTAAAGGTATATTATTAAACCAATGTGAGATTTTAAAATTTGCTTCATTTAAGCTCAAAGAACTATCAATTGTAAGCAATGTAATCAATAGTGATTGGAGTGTTGATATCACATCATTAATGATCAAATATTTAGGTGAATCATTACAGAGATTAATAATTGAGAATCCGACAGTTCTTCTTATTGAAAATATTTTAATGTATTGTCCAAATCTTATTTTATTAAAAATAAGTATTAAATTTCATATTGATTTATCATTTTTATCACTTTTTAGAAATTTAAAAACAAGAATGTTAAATGTTAGCATTTTTTCTCAAAATACTAAATTAGGTGAAGATTTAGCAAATAATATACCAATTAATATTAGTAAAATTTCTATTTATTATCATGATCCCAATCCTAATAGGTTTTTACTGTTTAAGGAATTTTTAGAAAATTGTCATAATAAGTTTGAAATAATTAATTTAAATTATATTATTGATTTAAAATTTCTTAAAGTTGTTTTAAATTATATTGAAGGAAGTAACAATAGTTTAAAAATTCTTGGTGTGACGAAATTGGATAAAAATTTGAATGATGAGGAATCAAAATTATTGAATAGAATTAAAGCAAAAGGAATTAAAATAATGGAATTTAATAGTATACATGATATCTATATTTATAAAGACATATAATATTGGTATTTATAGATTTTTAATATTTAGCTTTAGGGTTTATTTGGTTTGTTTACTATTTTTTATTCACTTATAAATAAAGCCAATCATATTTACCTAAGTATATGTGCAGTTTAAAATGAGTCACCTAAGAACAGATAATAAAAAGGTTTTTTTTTAACGCATTATCTTATTTAGGTCATATGACTTCAGAAAAATCGGTTTGATACAAGTAAAAACTAGAATTATGAAGATTGTGGCTATTCAACGCGTCTTGGCTCGAAATCTCCTTTACTTTGTGGCACAACTTTGAACTTTGGAGATGGGTTTTAATCTTAAAATTAACACCAATTTTGTAGTATAGTTCATTAGAAGAATGTTTACAAATAATTCGATAGAAAAATCTAATTGCTAGCCGTATTATAAGTCATTGGATTGCAAAATCATTTTTCGAAAAAAAGATATGAGAACCAGCAAAATCTCTGTTAGTTTTGAAATGTAGAATTATTATACTCAGCCAAGTATTTCTGTAAGTGCTTGCTAAATTCTGATCAAAGCAAAAAAACTTAACGTATTTGCTTTTAATTTCGTAAAATTAGCAAATATGCCTGATATTGCTTTTGTTAAATCCTTCGTCTATTGTAAGTGGCGGAAAAATAATAAGTTTGTTCTTAACTTTTTTTTTCTCAGTTTTAACGCTCCAATTCTCTTTATCAGACTCAAAAGAAAAATTGCCGTCTGTCTTGTCATCAAGTCCAGCTTTTTTTTTGGCAAAGGATCGTGCAAAATCATTTTCATTCCGGCAGTGATCAATAAAAATTGCATCACGCCTGATCCAGTCTGGTGTATTGTCGTCCACAAGGTTGTAGAAATTTCAATGGGATATTCATCAAGAATTGTTAATTCAGTTTTTAAGTAAGTCGATTATAAGATGTTGACAATTATGACAATATCGAATATCTAAAATAAATGCTAACATAATTTTATTATAATTTTTTCGTTGGGATCTTAGCATTACCGTCCAAAGACGAAAAATTGCTTCAAGTATTTCCTCAAAACGATTTCCACGAAATAGTTTGTATATCTAAAGTTGCTAGTATTAGATTATCTAACAAATCAATAAGGATTTGATGTCCAATACTTTTTATTGAACGAAACGTGAAAAAATATGTTCTTTAATCAAAGACCATCCTGTATACGCCAAATAGAGAAGGTTAATTCGCCAAGGTTTTGGCTTTGTCGCCAAGTTGCGTTTTTTTACCTTGTACAATTAATTAAAAAGGGATGGAAAGTAAAAAACGTGTTTCTCGAGTTTTTAATGAAACATGAAGTGGACCAAGAATCGGAACATTGTGTAAAATATAGTCTGGAACTTAAGACTTGTATTCCTAGCTGCATTCTGTTAACAATGGGCTCGTCCGATATAAAGTTGACTCGGAAAATCAGCAGTGTATTGAATAATGTAGTTGCTTAAATAGGATTGAACTTCTGTAAGTCTAAAAATTTATTGTTAATTAATTTAATACAGTTAATGCATAATTACTGTGCATACGTACTTTACAAATTAATCAAGAGTCTTTGGATAATCATCTGTATTTTTAAAATTCAATGGAATAAAGTTAATAAGTTTGATTGAATCAAAAATTTTGATATGCCTTTCAGATATATTTGCATCATATGAATGGATTATCAAAGATTCTATTAAGTTCTACTTCATTTAATTTTGAAATGCCAGGTAATTGATTCCAAGTACTCTTGCTTAATTATAGCTTACATTAAAAGTTTTCATAAATTTATTTTCCAATGCTTCTTTTATCATATCAGCTTCAACACCATTGGAATTGTGAACGCTATGATTGTTATTTGAAAAAAATGAATTGGTGCGAGATCTGATGTATTAATTAATAGAGTAGCAATATGTGCGATTCGTGATTATGAAGCGGCATTTTGGTTGATAAATCATGATTTTTTTTTTTTTTTTTAATGATAAATCATGATAATCATCAATTAATAATAATTTTGTATTAGATTCAATTACAAAAATTATTCTTACATTACCAGTTACGTAAAAATATTTGCGAACTGATCGAACTGATTCTTCATATCCATCTTCAATTTTTTGCAAATTGTTATAGACTGACTGATATGCATGCACCACTTAATCTCATACCCGTTAACATATTAATTTAAGTTACAGATGTCCCTTGAACTAGCTAAGCTTATCCCAATGGCACTTTTTGCAGCAGTTAATTGTTTACTTCGAAGTGATGCAATACAGTGACAAAGAAGTATTACTTTTTTTTAAGTTGCCGTTTGGATTAGTGGATGGATAGAAATAATAAATCAAAAAATCCAACTAGTTCAGAATCACACCTCTAAATTTAAAATTCATCAGGATCGATAATAGGTTTTTGATGCTCGTGATGTTGATGATTATATAAAACAGTAGAAGACCCTGTAAAAAATCTGATCCGTGTTTTATCTTTCCATATTTTTCCGTGAATGTATTATTTTCACGGAATTTTTACGGAAGACACGGAGAAATAATGGAAATATTCGGATAAAAATTTTTTATAGGGAGACATTGAACTTTGTTGTTAGGAAATCACGAAAAGTATCAAATACTATGATTAAGAAAAATTCTTTTATCAATAAAAAATAATAATCATTGAAACAATACTGATAAATTAAATATTTGATTTCAAACGAATTGTATTCTAATTCATGTATTTTAGCCACTAGTTCCTCAACTGATTTTGTTTTATTAAGAAGCTGGTCATATTCATCAGGTACTAAGATGATCTGACTCTGCTTTGATTCTCGTGGTCAGTCACCTCCAGCATTATATGAAAAATCATTGTTCCCGACTTATCTTTATGTAATCATAAACTACTAGCTCATTGTAATGTTATTCAGCACATCACATCACCAATTTTAAGCTTAGAACTATTGAAGTATTAATTAGCTTTCTCAAATCTCAAGAGACCTACCTTTTAACTATCTGAAGATTTCTTTATTGTCTTATAAACCACATACTGCACGAGGTCCTTTATTTTTTCGTGGTCTACCTAATGGTGAAATTGTTTAATAAGAAATTTTTTGATCCAAAGCAAATATTCTTTGATCCATGTTTAAAAGAGGAGAAAGAAATAGTATATAAAATTTCAGGTCGGGTTATTATGTAGTGTCGCGAATCTTTTATAATTATACTAATTTTAGGATAACAGATAATATGCTAATATATTTTGAAGAAGTACTTACCTAAATTTTTACACAAAAATATTTTTATTATTATCATAATTAATTATAATCTTTGAACTCGACGTCATCTTATTTAGAATTTCATTTAATTTGTAGAATAATCGATTTTATGTCTGTATAACAAAATAATGGATGATTTTCGAAAAAAAGGAATTAGATAGTATCAGTTAAATTATTAATAATTTATAATTTTTTTTAAAAAAAAATTATCTTTTAAACAGATTTATTATTTTATCTGGTAAAAGAGTTCTTCAAATATCAGAAAAAATTCTATAACATTCATTACAATTCTTCAGCAGTTGGAGAAGTTGATTTTTAACAAGATCAGGATCCTACATCTTTTTATTAATTCCAAGTAATTCATTTTCCATGACTTCATAAATTTCAATGCTTCTCAATTTTCGTTCTTAATCCTTGACAAACATTTAAGAATTTATTGAGTATTATAACGCGAGAAATGACCTCTGTCATTCCTACTTTAATAATGTATTGCACTTCATGATTTCAAAGGACCCAACCAAAATAAATTACCAAATAGCCTTAAGGCAAGATAATATATATTCCTTAAATTATTGCATGGAAACCATTCTATAATTTTCTTCTAATTTCTAGCTTTTAATTGAGTCGCTGTATAAATTTATCTATAAGTTTATTCCCACTAGCCCATTTTTCGAATACTCTTCGAAGTCGTTTAGAAATACGATTTTGGCACCAATCCCAATATGTATTTGATTTTATTACGATCAGGACATGATCCGTATCGTTCACACAACTACTACAGTATGTAACTCAAATAATTAAGACATCTCAAGTCTGCAACAATATTTAATAGTTATTCGGCTCGAAGTGCCAAATAACTGAAATAAGTGATTTATCTGGTGTAACCATCAAACCTTACTTTTAAACTTTTTTTAAACTTTACCTGATACACATGATATTTTGAGGATAATTTTTATTTATTTATTTAATATTTATACATAATAATTTAAAAATTAGTAATACAAGGAGGTTTAAAAAAAATCTCAATTTAATCAATTGATTTTCTTGAATTACTAGAAAATGTGAGAATTTACTAAATTATAAATTAGCTTGTTTCGTCAGTTTTTTTATTTTAGAAGCAATTTTAAATAAATTAATTGCCTTTTCTTTATCAATATCAGTTCCGATTCCTTTACTATAATATTCTCTAAGTATAAACATTCCTTTGAAGTAACCTTTTTCAATAGAATATTTAATATGCTTAAATGCTTCAGCTTCATTTTTTTCAACGACTTCATAAAATTTAGCTAAAAGATAATGCGCAGCTTCATAACCATTTTCTGCTGCTTTTTTATACCAATAAATGGCTTTTCTTAAATCTCGATCAATTCCTTTGCCTTTTTCGTATAAATATCCTAGACAACATTGTGCATAAGCATATTCTTGTTCAGCTGACTTTTCATACCAACATACCGCTTTTTTTATATCCTTTTTTGCAAATTCATACCCACCTTTTTCAAAATAAAATCCTAATATTAATTGAGCATATTTATCTCCATCATTCGCTGCATTTTTGTACCACTTAAATGCTTCAACACAACTTTTCTTAACAATAATTCCTACTTCATAAAATCTTCCTAAATATAATTGCGCATGTTTATTTCCTTCTTTTGCCGCTTTTTCAATCAAATGAACTGATTCTTTTAATTTTTTTCCAGTACCTATTCCCTTTAAATATAAATGTCCTAATATATATATTGCACTATAACATCCTTGTTTGGCTGATCTTTCATACCATTCAAATGATCTAAAATCATTCTTCTGAGCATCCAAACAATTATCATAATGTGTACCTATATGAGAATGTGTAAATTTGCTTTCTTTTTTTACTGCTCTTTCAGTCCAATAAAATGAGTTCTCAAAATCGTTTTTCACTTTTTCATATAATATTCCAAGTTCAAGTTGAGCAATAGTATACCCTTGTTTAGCTGATTTTTCAAACCATTCAAATGATTTATCATAATCTTTTTCTATACCTATACCACATAAATAACATCTACCTAAATTAAATTGTACAATTTTATTTCCACTTATTGCTGCTTTTTTATAATATTTGAATGCTTTAAAATTATCTTTTTCAATACCACTTCCATTTTCATAACATTTACCTAAATAAAATTGTGCAAATTTACTTCCATTTTCCGCCGATTTTTGATACCAATAAAAGGCTTTTTTAGGATCTTTATGTAATTTACCTAAATATAATTGAGCAATAGGATAATTATCTTTTGATGCTTTTGAAAACAATCCAAATGCTTTATCCTCATCTTTCTCTATAATAATGATTCCATTATAATAAAGAAAGCCACGAAAAAAAATATATTTTGATGATGTTTGATTTCTAATAAGCCAATCGAAAATTTTAATTTGTAAAAACTTATCAAGATCTTGAAGATTTTGATTGATGATTTCTCTTGCTTCAGTAGGAAGATAACACAATTCATCATGCATTCTAATCAAATGGTCAATTAATTTATCAACAATTTTTTCAACATTATTAGTAAAATCAGTTAAATTAGGTATTAATAAATTATTTTTTACGTAATCAAACGTGTTTAAACTGTAGTCGTCATCTATCATAATTTTTGAAAAGTGGTCATATATAGATAAATCATAATCATCCATCATGTAATTAAGATCATTATTCGATGATTTTTTCTCAATTTCATTTGTAATAGATTTGATAGAATGATTCTCAATTTCATTTGCAATAGATTTGATAGAATGATCAATTATTGATTTAAGACATGAAACTACTATTTGAATAGATGGTCTTTCATCAGGATCATCTGACCAACACGCTAAAAATAGAATTTTACATCATTAATTGTCTGCTAAATAGATTTCGACGAAATGTCCGGTACCCTATGATACGTACCTGTATATATATCACTATATTCAACAGGCGTGTCCTTAATGATCTCTTCTCTTTTTCCATTTACTATCTCCGTGGCTAAAATTATATCATATTGTGTATCTACATCATAAAAAGGTCTACGTCCACTTGACAATAACCAGAAAAGAACTCCTATACTATAAATGTCTGATTTGAAATTCATTATATGAGGTTGACTTTCATATTTGATATTAAATGCATTATTAAAGTTTTTTGGATCTAAATAAGGAAGAAAATCTAATGCTTTATTGGAATAATTTGATATTTCATTCACCCTTTTAAATAAGCCAAAATCTGCAATTTTAATGATATTTTTATGTATCAGTACATTTTGCGCATGCTAAAAATATATATAAACAAATGAATAATCGTTGATTTATGTAACAAATAATAAGAAGAAATATTTTAAATAATTATTGCATACCAGATTATAATGGATTATACCTTCATTATGAATATATTCTATAGCATTTGCGAGTTGTAACGCTAAACAATATTTATCATCCCATTCAAGTTTAGTGAAACTTTTCTTCAAGTAAGAATATAATGATCCACCATCCGCGTACTCTAATACTAATGAATACTGATCGTCTAATTTTGAAATTCCATAAATTTGTAAAATATTTATATGAAAATTAACTTCTTTCTGCGCTTTGAGCTGTTATATATATTATTTTTATAAATAAGATAAGATTTTTGTGAAATTATTAATAATATGAAATATATTAAAATTTCAAATACCTCATTTACAATTTTTTTAACGTCCAATTCGTACAATGTTTTCACGACCAAATTAGTATTAGTGTTATTCCAGTTTGCTTTAAATATTTTTCCGACTGAATTATTACTATTTTCAATTTTTTTTTTATTTTTAAATTCGTTATGATCATAGTAAGTAATAAAATTATTCTCGATTGCTTTTCTTATCCAATCAACGTAATTGAAATTTTTATTTATCGACATTTTGTAAAAAAAAAACCGTTTTTATTTTTTTTTTCTTTAGCGCTCAAATGGTTTCTTATATAAAATTCGATTGTACTACCGATTTTTATATTTATCGTTAATCATTAGTTGTAAGAACAGGTTTTGACCGCTATTAATTGTTCACCTTGGTAAGATTGTTCTGAACATGATCAGATCGTTCCCAAGTTGGATGGTCTAACATGTGATATAATAAGTGCTTACACCTGAAAGATCATCCTATAATGTACATTTTTGTTCTAAAATTTCGTCATTACGATTTGACTATGCAAAGTCAGACATTACGTAAATACATAATTATGTATGTTTTTTTTTTTTTAGATAACGCCAGCCAGCATACATAGTTCCAATACATAGAGTTCAATAAATAACTTATATACTGTATTTAAGAATAGCTCGTTCGATATCTTTGTTTAAAATTGCAAGTTACTATAGGCAACTTTATTTGCTTAAATATTTATTAATGTTTTAAAAGAGATTTTTTTTTAAATTTACCAACTTTGTTAATACATATCTGATTTTGTCTATATAAAAGCAACGCAAATCATCATTGACGATGATCGATTGTATCGCTGATCATTTGATAACACGTGTACTATTAAACAATTCTTTTCGAATCATTTCTCGTTTTCTGAAAACCAAAAAAATCTTTCGAATTTTACGGTTAAGTTTTTGATCGGATCAAGGTTATTTTGTCTTTTTGACTCTTCTGTTCACACTCAGCTAGTAAAAACGTTAACAAACTACCCTCAAGAGCACCCCAAAAAATTCTGCGTAAATCATGATCATCACATATCACATGATTGTGATTAAAGAGTTACGGATATGTTTTTTTTGTGATTGGTCAACAGTTTGATTCAATTGATCTCAATTTTAATTGAGCACAACATTTGGTGATAGATTAATTGATTGGGCTCACTAAGGAGTACTTGAGGTTAAGCCAATGGAAATAAAATATTGATGAATTAATACAACAATCTGATAAAATGTTACCACTTACCAGAGGTGGTTTGTAAAATTTATTTAACTGACTGTGCCGATAGAAATATTAAATTTGGGATATTGAAAATCAAAAATAAGTGAAATAAAAATTACATTAAAGGCCTAAAGGCCTAAATAATTCATTTGATATTTATAATTTAATTAGTTACTCTTTATTAGATAAATATCATGATATTTCAGGTCATTTTCATTGTATGTTATAGATTAACTTAGAAATAAAAACAATTTTTTTAATGAATAACTTAATAATTGTATAATTAAATTTATTCTCAAATAGAAGAATATGAAAAAAAAATTAGAAAAATAAATTGAAGAAAAACAAAATGAAACTAAAAATCTTTAAACATCACTTAGTATTTTTTCATTATTGAATACTTCAATACTTGAATAATTGAATTGCAAATTAAATGAAATAGGGTTAGACATTTGTTTTTAAATACGATAAAATCTACGCTAATTTAATATTTCAAAACTTTTAGTATTATTTCTTACATAAATTCCTTTTATTTTCAGTAATTTACCATTATATTATAAAATTTGTAATAAAAAAATTTTTCGATTTCTTTAAAGTTGACATCATACTAATTTTATGTAAAAAAGCTAATGGTAACGATCGCCTTACAAATCTTTTCTCAACTACTTTTGACCTTCACTTCCTTTTCCCTTCCTACCCTTTTTACTTTTTTTACCAATTTTTATTATATAAACTATTAAATAGTACTTAAAAACTAACTCCTCCTAAACTATTTGACATAAAAGTTACATTTATCAGTGATTTTTTAATCAAAGATAAAGGATTGTGTGATGTAACATTATCTTCCTTTTAGTGTACATAATGGACAGCATCAAGCCCGAATATCATCTAGTCTGTATGTCTAAGATCCTGATTCGTGGACAGTACTGAAGTACTTATTGTATTCGGTAAAAATTGAGTTTTATTTATGTGATCTTTTGGTAAAAATTTGTGAGAATGGCCTGACCCTAAAGTCTGGTGATATTTTCCCGGTATCACGTTGACAATCGTAAATTATGACGCTTCTCGTGAACTGTACAACCTCTTAATACTATCATCTCTAGTTCAATAATAATTTACTGACGGAAAATGAGCCATCAATATTGGCCAATGACAAAGAAAGCAAGGATGTAAAACCAATAGCGTACGCCCAATAAAAGAAAAAGAAGGATGATTCATCAAATTTTCACATCATCAGATAAAAGAAGCAAGATCTGTAACCGTTACGTCTTCAAAGGTGTCTTACAGCTCTGGTTGTATCGTAAACTCTACATAGGAAATTCTTTATATCGTAACCATAATTGCCCTCTTTAGTTCTTTAGTTAGTTACTCCCGTTCTTTCTCATAAAGTAGTTATGAACTGAGTGACGAAACGTTTTGAAAATTCTTTGGAATATTATCCATAAATATTCTTTGGTGCTTTTGGCATACTTTTTACCAACATCTTATAGTATTATATTGAGTTCATTATTTGTTAATTTTACAGATTAATGACGAAACAAATGATCAGCATCATGTGACATAACCAATCAAAATGCATAGTCCTTTATATCAGACGCATTTAATAAGAATTTTTGAAGTTTTATAAAAATTAAACATAATCCGCATAAATAAGTCAAATAAAGAACCAAAATTTTTAGTATCATTTAATTTTAATAATAATTATTCATAATAAAAAAAAAAATTCTATAAAAAATTAAAATATGATAAGTAATTATATATATTAAAAAAAATCGAGTAAAAATAAATAAATCTATAAAAATTTCTTATATAAAATACGATTTAACTTATATCAACTAATTAGTTACCTAAATTATTTAACATGGGTTTCATTAGTTTCCCAAAAGTTTGTCATACAATATCTAACGTAGGGATGGAACGTGATTTAAAACAAGATGTTTTAAACAATTTAAATCAGTGTTTTAAAACATTGATCGGCATGATTATTGCGTATTAAAATTATTTCTCACCATCAGAAGACGTCTGTAAGCACTTTGAAAAAGTTACAGAAGTTGATGGACGTAGTCGAAAAACACCTCGTTAAAAGTGTGATTATTGTGGAAATGACATTATTGATTTAATTGATCGATTAAAAGATCATTGATGAAATGTAAAATCTTTCAGAAGATTTAAAATTAGTATGTATTATAATAAAATGCTTAAATTTTATTGCAAATATGTATTACGTAGTAAAGAGTAAAGTTCTTAATGTTTTAAAACGTGTTTAAAACGTGTTTAAAACATGTTTTAAAACGCCAAAATTGTTTTAAACCATGTTTTTTGCCATCCCTAATCTAACGCTAATAGAAAATGTACTAATTTCTAGACAATTTCACAACTAACAAAATAAATAAACTCATAATTAATTAATTATACAATAGCACCTACTATCATCTGCTATTAAATTATATTATTTTATACAATGAGACTTATCTTAACTCACCAATTATTTTTAGAATATGCAGTAAACATTTCAAATATCCATTATATCACTTCTAAAATAGGTTAAAGAGCAAACTTTTGAAAATTTCACTATGATTCCTATTTATGATTTCATGATTTATTGTGAACCTTAAAACTTTAAAAAAAGTTGAGATTTAAACTCTTGAAGGATAATAACGAATAAAAACTTTGTGCACTTATTAAATATGTCCAATAAAGTGTCTATTTATCCAAATATCAAAATAAATTCGAAGTTGATGTGGCTTAGAATTGATCAGCATAATTTTTGAAAACCGCTTTTTCTCCAAACACAAGAAATAAAAATAGTTATTACTGCTTACAGTATCAAAAGATTAAGCCATTAAGGTATATTACAGTATTAAATATTTTTTTTTTTTTATCAATGAAGTAAAAAAGTTAATTTTATCAGGATATAAGTTCTACCTAAAAAAGGAAAATTTTATCATTTACATAATGTTTACTTGTATTATTATAAAAGGAAAATTAAAATAAACCAGATAAAAAAATTTAAACTTTAAAATCCGAATCTTCCAAAAAAAAAAAGAAACCCTTAGTCATAACATTAACACAAAAATTCTAAATTACAGAATTAAGGTTCATTATGTAATGTCTATCTATTAGGGAAGATTTGCATAACGTAACGTCCAATTTTTTTTTTTTTTTACTTTTTTTTAAAAATTAATTTTTTTTCAATTGAGTATATTCGCTAAATCATAAGTGTTATATTTTACTTAAAAAATATTAATAAAATGGATACTTCAAAACAAAATTCAGATACAACTAAAACTGATGCTAAAAATTTATGGAAAAAATGTGATGTTGGATATCAGGTAAATTATTATAATATAATAAACAATATAGATTTTTATTAAAATTTTTTAATCTTTCATTTTGATAGTTCCACGCTACAATTTTTTCAACTGATTCAACTACTGAATCAGATGAAACTATTTCCTATTTTAAAAAAGTAAATATTATGGATTTAGAAAAAGAAAAGAAGTATACGGAGTATGTGGAGAGTGTAATGAACCAGGTACAGGAGATTTTTGGTGTCAATCTTGTAATGCTAAAAGATTTAAAGAAAATTTTAAAAATTGGACTAGTGGAAATAAAAATATTGATGAATTCATACAACAATCACAACTTAATGCTTTTTATTGCTCAAAATGTCTTGAATGGATACCTTTTGAAAATTTTGAAAATGTTACCTATCTTACTAGAGTTGGTTTTAGTAAAATTTATTCGGCTGACTGGCCCGAAGGAAAAATTGGGGGATGGGATATTGAAAATCAAGAATGGATCCGAACTTCAAGAAAAGTTGCATTGAAAAGTTTAATTAATTCATCTAATAATATAAGTAATGATTTTTTAAATGAGGTAATTAAAATAAATCTTGTTTATTAATATTTGTATTTTAATACATAATTTATTAACAAAATTTCTCTTTTTAATGATTTTAGATCAAATATTACATTTCAGGTCATTTTCATTTTCTTAATACTATTTTATGTTTTGGAATAACTCAAGATCCAAATACTAAAGATTATATGATGGTTTTACAATATTGTGAGGGAGGAATTTTGAGAAATACTTTAGTGGAAGGTTTAAAACTTGAAACTAAAATAGAATATTTATTTCATATTATAGATGGACTTTCAGGTATTCATGATGCTGGAAATAATGATATACTATCAATTAGTGATTTAGGAATGTGTCAACCAGTAAATGATAATGAGCGAAAAGGAATTTATGGAGTAATACCTTATATGGCACCCGAAGTTTTACGTGGATATCAATATACAAAAGCAGCAGATATTTACTCATTTGGAATAATAATGAATGAACTTATGTCAGAAGAAATTCCTTATAATGATACAGTATTCCTCCTGTCTCTTATACACATCTAGATGTGTATAAGAGACAGATCTAACGTAGGGATGGAACGTGATTTAAAACAAGATGTTTTAAACAATTTAAATCAGTGTTTTAAAACATTGATCGGCATGATTATTGCGTATTAAAATTATTTCTCACCATCAGAAGACGTCTGTAAGCACTTTGAAAAAGTTACAGAAGTTGATGGACGTAGTCGAAAAACACCTCGTTAAAAGTGTGATTATTGTGGAAATGACATTATTGATTTAATTGATCGATTAAAAGATCATTGATGAAATGTAAAATCTTTCAGAAGATTTAAAATTAGTATGTATTATAATAAAATGCTTAAATTTTATTGCAAATATGTATTACGTAGTAAAGAGTAAAGTTCTTAATGTTTTAAAACGTGTTTAAAACGTGTTTAAAACATGNTTTTTTTTTTTTTTTAAAAAAAAAATAGATCTCAATCAAGACGATGATAAATAAATTTTAAGATGTAAATTTATTTATTGCATCGCCTCTAGGCAAAATTATGCAATACCAATCAAAATAAAGGAGAGTGATATGGGTGACAAAAGGTAGTGATGACATCGAACGCGTGATGAATAAATTTTTCAATTTTAAATTAGTATATTGTTCAAAAAAATCTAGTAGTTTCTTTTTATTATATATTATTCCATTTTCTTATATAAATTCTTTTTGATTTCAACTTTTATTATTATATTATTTTAGCAAATTTCTTTATAATTTTTTTATTTTATTATACAATGTAGTGACGTGATCAAAAAAAAAAAAATAAAATAAAATAAAATAAATACATCATGTCGTATATTATTTCATTCTCTAAAACTTTTTATTTGTCTATATTAATATTCTTTGAAAAAAATTTTAAATATCAAATTCGTATTGTACAGTATATACTTAACAGTAATTGTGCGGCAAATTTGACGGATTGGCATGATTTAATTAATTATTGGCGAAATAGAAACTTACATGACTCCAAACTTTAAAACATTCGGTACTTTATACAAAAAAAAAATATCTCAATCTTTAATTTCCTATTATTTAATTTTATTTTTATTTTCAGCTAAATCAAGTTTTACGAGATTTATTAACACCACTTTTCTTTGCATTTTCGTGATAGTAACAAAATAATTTATAGTTTTGAGCGTAAAAAAAAGTTTAGAACGAATATATATGCAAATTTAAGGTATATACTTTATTTAAGATAAACATTAACAATATACTGTATAACAACAAATGTGTATAATAAATTCTAATAAACAATGAATAAAGAAATAAATCATTAAATAAACGAAAAATATTGCTGCCCTCCGCTGGAGATCTGAAATATTTCAATAAAGACCAAAAAACTAAAACTAAGAATCTCCTTCGTTCTCCCTTCTATATATACTGCTTCTTCGATTCGTGTAAGTTATCCTTAGTATAAGTTATACTTCGTATATTCTTATAAAATTTAAGTGATACTAAATTACAGTGGTCGAAAAAAGTCCTCGGAATTACAAAAAACGCAAAAATCAAGCAACCAGTGATCAGAATTGCTTCAAATTTTGCAGATTTAGTATCTGTCTCTTATACACATCTAGATGTGTATAAGAGGTCGAAAAAAGTCCTCGGAATTACAAAAAACGCAAAAATCAAGCAACCAGTGATCAGAATTGCTTCAAATTTTGCAGATTTATTACCAAATGTGTGAATATTATGCATACAAAATTTCAGCCATTTATCTTGTTGCCTTGTCTCACAATCGGTTTTTTAAGTTCAAAAAAAAATCATTAAAAATTTAAGCAATACGATAACTTTCTCTTATACACATCTAGATGTGTATAAGAGACAGAAATAGACCAACTGCTAAAGAATTACATCAAATATTGGGAATAGTTGACGTTGATGACAAAAGTAGCGAAATTTATTCTCAAATAAAAGAATGTGAAAAAATTAAAGAGAATAAATTAAGAAACAGAACAAATGAAAATAAATCTAAAAATCTTCAAACACACCCACAAGCAATTTACTAGCAGACTTTTAAATTTTGAATTCAACCGATTATTTATCTTCATTTCAAGGTACAGTAAATATACATCTAAAAAATTAATATGAAAATATATTTTATTGATTTTTTTATTTTTTTAATAGAAACTATTTCATCATCATGAGCAAATCCAAGTAAGTATATATTTGCATTATTAAAGATTATTGTGATTATTATATAATAATATTTATTTTCATTTTATTATTAGTTTCTGAATGTTTGGATTGTGAATTAAATGAATTAGGTAAGATATCTGTTTATTAAATATATGAAATTATTAATTTAATTTAATTATTATTTTTTTTTTTTTTTAAAAAAAAAATAGATCTCAATCAAGACGATGATAAATAAATTTTAAGATGTAAATTTATTTATTGCATCGCCTCTAGGCAAAATTATGCAATACCAATCAAAATAAAGG